TGTTCTGCTTCTGATTACATGGCATTTGAAAATAGGGTCCGTAGGTAGGAAGGTTTTTTTGGGGGGGGGGGGGTTAATCATTTTTGTGTATGATCATATGGAGCCTCGGAGGTGTCTACATAACATGTAGTCAATAGTTAAAAGGTACCGGTTATTGATGGTTTTCAGGTTTTTCCCTAATTTTTCCACAAAAAAAATTTGGCTGGGGCTGTCAAAATAGGGTACATGTAAGTACCTGTAGGGTAACTGGAAGCAGAAGTCTTTTTTGGGGGGGGGGGGCCTTGCATATGTGTATCAATTATGCCCCATCAGGCTAAAACTAACCCATTAGCAATATTAAAACTGTACAGTCTAGCATGTTATTTAATCTGCATTGTACTGGTAGCTCTGGTACAAGAGTCTACCAGTCATTTTCTACCCTGCAAAGGCTAAACTACTGGTACATGTCTAGGCTCGGGTAATTTCCATATTTATTGTACAAAAATGGTACATGTATAAATGTTTAATCAGGCAAGCTTAATAAAGCTTACAGTATAATGAACGTCTAGTTGTAAGGCCTTGGGGAATTCCCAGTTTTTTTCACACGCATTTTAGAATAATGTCCTTTGTTCTCATAATTCTATATTTACCATAGTAGCATGTACACATGTATACTGTGTATCTGAGGGACAACATGTTGTACATTTGTTTGTACATCTTTGAATTTTACATTTTTTTGGAGGGGGAGGTAAGCCTATATACCGGTACCAGGTTTGTTTTTTTCAGTTACAATTTTTTCAGTTACAAAGAAGTCAATTACTGTTAAATCAGTTACAATATATGCAAGAGGTCAAATCATTGGCATTCATGGTAAATTTTCAAGCTTCACAGTACCAGTATGCTTATTCAGACAAAAGAGGTTTCTCTGGCAAAATAAGTGTTAAGCATTGATAAATCAATAACATTGCAGACCTGACACAGTTACAATGTGAGGCCATTTTTAGAATGCAGCTTACTCCTTTGTCTGGCAGGGTACTACATGTATACGTATAAAGGATATCTTTGTCAATAAGCAGCTTCAGACTTAAAGTGTTTTGTCTGTCCATGTGCTGAAAGGATTAATGCCTATGAAGGTTTACAACTTTTTGGATAATGCATGTTGAGTTGTGGACCTGTTGGATCTATCTGGATCCGAATTCTGGAACACCAGACTGATGAATGCTTGTAACATTAATAACCCACATGTACATGGCCAAAACGCAATTAGTGGAGCAATATTGCAAAGCAATTAATCAAGCACACAAAATTTATTGCTGAAGAAAAAATACGCTGAGAGCCAGCAACAAGCAATTTCATGTTGTGGTTGGTAAACTGTTCTTATTGAGCAAAACACTGCTCATTGCTCAACAAATTTGCATGCGGAGCAAGTCTGCTCCTGTACACAAACCCCAGGAGCAAAACTCACGTAGTCCAAACTTTGAAGCTAGCGTGGGGGGGGGGGGGGGGGGCAAACAATTCTGTTTGCTTTAACCACAGACTCACTGACTATGGAGGTGCGACTTTATGACTCTTGTCCAGGGTCAACTCACTAGTCGCTTGGTTACTGTACACAATCTATTGTAGGGTTCACCAATGCCATTGTCAATGCTCAGTCCACTAACTGGTCCCACAACACATGTTCAGTGGATTTTAGACCCATTATACAGTAATCACGCAATACAAAGTACCGGTAGGGCCTATGAACAAGTATGAAGAAAACGACACACTCGTTCTTTCACTAATCTGTGCATGATGTGCAGATGAATGTTGTATCATATACTAAGTACATGTTACATGTACCCTAAAACTGCAAAAAAAATCACTTGACAAATTTATTTTGTTTTCAAGCAGTAATGAAATACCCGATAGTTTGAACCAAAAATGCATCAAATAGCCTACTAGGATGATAAGATTTACATGAGAAGGTAATGACACAAAACCCTAATCACATTAAAGGGCATGTACACGGACATGTATACATCATTTGCTTTTGCTGTAATTTTCAGAAATGGATGGAATTGGGGGGTTGGAAATATCTAGCAAATATAGTTACACTGACTTTTTTGAGGTTTTGGGTTCGAAAATGCTATAAAACCAAGAAAAACAATCATTTTCCTGTAGTCTGGTTCCCTGACTCCATATAAGAAGAAACAGAGCAGTTTACATACATTGGGGAATTGTAAGGTCAGGGAACCAGTCTAGCTGGCTTGTACCCATTCATAGGTGTGTAATCGATTGCAAACAAGTGCGATGGTCAATTGGGGCCAGTGTTTGAAAAAAAGCCAGTTTTTTTCCAAGGCTGGTCGGCCGACCAGCGTTGGAAATTGATACAAAAATACCACTTTTCTTGAAAATGACAGTACACCAGGTGCCATGATTTTACAGGATGCTTTACACTGTCATTCACTAATAGTCCAGCAAGGTATTTCAAAATAATTTGGTAGTTTTATTTTTTGATGTTTGCAAATGTTGTATTTTCCCTTTAAACATGCTTAAATCAAGCCATTAGTAAGTCAGAATTGTCTTTACGGTAACAAATTCTGGAGATAATGCCATTATGCACACTGAGGGACCATGCATTTAAATGGTTTGTCATGCCTTCAGATAGTTTGTAAGTTAGAGTTTAATAATTGGCACATGAAGTGACAACCGATCCTTGTCATTCTCCTACCAAACCAACTGATGATTGACATTATAATCATATTGGAATGTGTTTACCAATGGAATTACTTTATCTTCTTCAAACATATCACAACTTTGTTACCCAGTGTTACTTCAAACGTATCACTGATTCTTCCGGTAAATTTGACAAGCTAAAAAAAATTTTACCCGATAAAATATACGAACATGTATTGACCAGCTCTTAATGTAATCTGATGCAGCACCCCATGATACTCTTTAGATACATGTACATGTGACTCTGGCTTGTCTGGACTACGTGTACATGTAGCTGGCCCCCTCTTGTCAAGCTTTCACACATTAAGAAATTTTAATGAAAGGCTTCAGACAGGTTTACATCCATGATGAAAGATACAATATCTTTGGATACTAAAAGCATCTGTACATTGATATAACTGATTGTCAAGACTGGTCAATTAATTTGGAGACATTGAACATAAAATTAAAAGTTGCTCTCCCCGTGCTGTTTTCAAGTTTCACCTCAAAGAATAAATGTTGTTATGAAATGGCTATTACTAGCAACACAAAAGTCATTCACTTTTTAATGAGACATCAAGCAAAACAAAACCAAACAAACCCCCCCCCCAAAAAAAAAAAAAAATTAAATTAAAATTCCCATGTTTACTGTTATTATATATTCTAATAGTCTAAAAAATATCAAATTATTTGCACCCCAACAATTATTCAGGCATATCTCTTGTGCGTAACGGGCACAAAAACAACCCTAAGTAATTTTATTTTCAGAAGATTGAAAACTTCCAGAATGGAAAAATTTAGCTTTTTTGTTTAAATAAAACACACAAATTGAAACTTGTTAAGAGGAGGGGGAAAAAAATAAAATATACGTTGAAGAGCAGGTTTCTTCCTACTGTCTACTGGACCAAGTCCGCCAAAATCCATCAATTACACTGCTTCCAATGCATGCTTTGCTGTAGGCCTCCGCCCAAGTCCATCATACTCCATCAATATTTAGTCAAACCAGGCCTGCAGGACCAAGTCCCCCTAAAATTCACCAAAATGGGGGGGGGGGGGGGTTTTGATGGAGTACTTGGGAAGGTCAGGGTTAATTTAATTTAATTAACAATGGAGCTAAAATCACAATCAAATGCTGCAAAATGTGACACAAAGCACTTAGCAGGATACACCTGCACGCCATTCATCCACTGCTACCATTTGAGGAACAAAGCATTGAGGTCACAATCTAAAAGACCAAACATGCGTTGCCCACAGCAGAGAACATATTGACATCGCGAACAAAAAAAATCACAACTGCTTCAGTAGTCCCTTTTATCAGATTCCCCACTTAATCTCCAACACCTGTGCTTGGCAAACTGCCAGAAAGGCGTCCATCATAATTTATGACAAATATAGACTGTTTACATAAGATGCTCACAGTTTATATCATGTGAGAAATGAGCGGGAAATAGCCTAATGTGATCTGAGGAAATGTATCATGTCATACTTAAAATAGGCACAAATTACAGGATAGTTCTATCATAGTTCCCACTCTTCCTTTGAATTCAACAATAATTGAACAAGTGTACAGCAAAAACATGACCGGGTTTCTCACTGGATTCGTTTCAAATTTCCTTTTGTTTCATCAAATAGAGATGCCTGGCCACCGTATTAAATCAATCTGTTATTCAATAAATCTGTACTTAAATAAAGGCCAAAAAAAAAAATTACTGCTTCCGATTACATGGGATTTGAAAATAGGGTAGGTACATGTAGGTAGGGAATTTTTTTGGGGGGCAATTTTTTTTGTGTACCATCATATGGAGGTGTCTGAGTGTAGTAGAGGGTAAAAGGTATTAATTGATGATTTTCAGGGGTTTTTTCCTCATTTTTACCAAAAACATTTAGAGTAGGGGCTGTCAAAATAGGGTAGGTAGGGTAACCACAAGCAGAACTATTTTTTTTTCTGGCCTAACTTGAAAACAATAAGTTTTCAGGTTCTGTAAAATAACCTGCAGGCAACATGAATTATCACTGTATTTGATGGCAGATGCTAATGTAAATTTTGACTTTTTGTTTTAGCCTTTACGACCCTAACGAGAGCAAGTTATCAATTTCTACTTAACCTTGAGATCCTGTTAACGCAAACTACCTACCCTGCCCTCCAGGCTTTGTCCTTTAGTTAGCCAAAAACTGAGTTCTTTGGAAATCTTGTTCCTCAGCATCCACTGAAAACCTCAGTTATATGGTCATAACACTGTGCCAGCTATTATTTTAAATGCATTATTGTTACTCATTTAATACTGCAGACTGAAGAAATAAAAAAACAAGGGAAAAAAAACACCAACCTGCCAGTTGCTTGATCTGTGACTGAATGACATGGTCCGACTGCTTCCTGCCGCCTCTCCTTAAGCTTTCCATACTGTAAGAGATCCCCACTCAGTCTTGAGACCACAAATAAATACATGTAGCATCCATTGCTTGAGGAGGACCGACCGCTTCCGATGCTTGTAATGAAGAGATTCCGACGTTAATGTTTCCCTGCGGAGCTGAGTCCAATACTACAGTACCAGTGTGTGTGTGGGAAGTGTTGTGTGTCCCATCCAGCGTGTACATTTATACCAGACCAGTAATTTCCATTGGCTGTTTGGGTTCAAAAGTCACTTGGCGCATGATATCTCCAGGAGTAATTTCTTGGGGTCATATTTTGTTGGTCTTAGGTGTGCCTGACCTGAGGATAAAGTGAAATTTGAGATGGTGAAACCAAGAAGACTTCAGGCTTCAAAGTGCTAATGGCTAATGATAATTGTTTTTGAAATAAAACAGGCGGCGAGGGCTGTAGTTTTGCACTTTGTATTGTTGTTACAGTAATCCATGCCAATGCTGAAGTGAAGGGTGTAAATGCATTAGGATTTTCTCAGTACATGTATGTACTTCTTGTACACGTATGTGTGGCTACAGACCTGTACAGCAGATCACTATCCAATGATGGCTTAGCACCACTACAAAGCTATCTTTCGCATAAAAAGTGAGCAAAATTTAAATTAATGTGACCTCTTGGTTCAAAGGTGTGGTCTGGTTAACTTGAATTCTTTTGAGTATTATGCTAGTTGAAACACTGCCCTGTTACAAAGACTTAATTATTGGCTACTTTCAAATTATGTCCATTATTAAGAGAATGGTTCCAACTTTACTGTTGCACTTAATTTTTACAAAGTGGTTATTTTTGTTTATCCACAAGGCATTATTCAACTTGTATAGGGCATTTTAAGCCACTTTGTAGTGCATTTCAATGCTGACAGTGCTTAGTCCAATTTTTTTTCTTTTTATTCCAAAAAAAGTGTACATGTATTTTTTTTACTTTCAAATCCTACTGTTTATTGAAGTGGAACTGATTTTCTTTCTGATTCATGGCTCTGAAACATTTTTTTTTTAAAGGGGAGCAAAGTCTGAGAACCATTTGGTTGACAACAGGCGTATTGCATGCAATGGCAGAATGGGGCCTGGAGTACTTGTACGTCTTTAACGTGCAAAACTAAATCAGGCCAACATAACTCACTTTTTAACACAGTATTGAAAGTCCCAAATTTTTGGACTAGTGCAATGGTAGGCTTCCATAAAAACTGAACAGATTAATTTTCATAAAATTTGTACCAAAAGGAAGGGCAAAAAAAAAATCCTTTGTTAAGTTCCAATTTCCGTTTCCCAGTGTTCATACAATGTACAACTACATCTATAAAAAAAAATGAGCATGAGTTCTATTGAAAAGATTTAATGGATAATGTGCATAACATCTCTCCATCTTCAAGTTGTAGAATTCATTTCAAATGCCAAGTGAAAATATTATGCAGAATTCAACCTGAATATAGGTCTATAAATTTCTAAGGAAAAAAGAAGAAATGTCATTAATTACGTATAATTTCCCCTGGCAACAGTCTGAATATAAAATACCCTCTTTAACATGTTCGTGCATAAAATTAGTAACTTTGCATAAAAATATAATGTTGGATCACGTTGGTACATGTATGTGAACTGGAAACCAATGTAGTAACGAATGCAGCAACAGTACGTGTTTTCTCAGTAAAATTAATGGGAAAGGATTCCATAATAGTAATACGCCACTTGACACCCTGTGCACAAACCCTATGAGACTGGTCTGAAAAATTCTGTTTTCCAACTTAATGCTTCAATATTTTCCCTGCTAAATTTCACTTTCTAGGACAATTGTTATCCCTCTGTGATGGTTGATAACTTATTGCAGGGAAAAACTAGTGGCGTATGTATATGAAATTCTTTCCCAAAACGGTAGGGCCTACTTGCTATATTTATTTACAAATATATCTAGGCCTACCTTCGACAACATGTTCAAGTTCAGCATTAATTTGAAGGCAAATGAAATGATGTTCTCCTTTGTTTACCATCCAATAAAGAGGCTAAAGCCTTGCCAACTTACGCTGTCTGAAATCGTTAAAATATTTTACACCAGAATTTAAACGAAAAATCTTACCAACTGATCATTTTGAGGAATAGACAGATGATGCTTGCTTCTTCATCCTCGCGTTGTTTTTGCCTCTCATTTCATTTCAAGCTACTTTGATTTCAAGGTTACTGCATGCATCACCGTACGGTGGCGGCGCTACATACACGCGCCATAAATGTCTCCTAAATCCGTTGATTGATTTCGTCTGCTGTTTACATTGGACCCAACGACCTCATTGAGGGCGCTATTCTAAAAATTTAGGCGCCGAGCTGTTATTCAGCAAATTTCATGCATTGTGTGGCAACCTCTTCCGCTTTCAATTGTTTGTTCGTGGGTAACTACACTTACACTTGTGAGATGGCCTAGCGGTTAAGAAACTGGACTCATGCTAACACTACTGCATTTTGGACTCTGTTATCACTGGACTCATGCTCTGGTGTTTCAGAGGCAACAGTGGCGTGGGTTGAAAGTTATAACACGAACTGCCTAGTCCAAGTTCTGAATGTACGCCAATATTATTGTACTCAAGATTGTTTTGATGACATGCTTGTTTGCGTTTTCATATGGTTTCATTACAAGAAAATCATAATCCGAGTAACTTGTGCCCTTGAGCAAGGCACTTAACCATTATTACTTCGTCCTTTGGATGGGACGTAAAGCTAGGTCCCGTGTGTTGTATAAATGCATGTAAAAAGAACCCAGCAAACACTTATCATGCTTATCGCTAGTAAGAGTAAGACTAAGACTGGTAAGAGGGTTCGCCCTGGTGTTTCTGGCAGATGACCTCATACATGTATACATTATGAGGCTGTACGCGAGGGCCACACCAGGCATTTGTACAGAAGCTAACAGATAACATAACACTTACAGTTACACTTGAAGGAATTTAAGTTCTTGGCGTTTATGACACAAAATTACCTTCTGTGTTTAAAATAATAACATGAACTGCCTAGTCCTAGTTCTGAATGTACGCCAATATTGTACTCCAGTTTGCTTTGATGACATGCTTGTTTGCATTTTCATATGGTTTCATTACAAGAAAATAATAATCTGAGTAAGTTCGACCCAACTTATCACCTTTTTTAACAAAAGTAGGCCTTCATGTCCAAATGTTCAAAAAAGGTGATAAGTTAGGTCCAAGTTACTCGGACTACAGACACTGGGTTAGTCAGTACATGGAGCTATAATGGTCAGTACAACCATGGTATGTAGGAAACCTCCATGGTAAAGCCCACCAAACATGCCAAACAGTCATTTTGTTTAATTATTTGCTATCTTTTAAAATGGTTAATTCCTAGAAGAAAAATATACAAATAATTGTAATTGCCACTGTTTTCTCCAAATGTAAAAGTGGGACGTGGAGTATTGTATTTTCAAACCAATATATGCAACTTTTGTATATTACAATAATGTGACACATAGACATCAGATGGACAGACAACGTAGGATCGTTTAATATAGGAAGAAGGAAGATTGACAAAATCGTGTTTCATGATCAAAAGAAAACATTGTGCATGGTTTTTCACTATTTTCTTGAAAAATATGTACTGAGCTGAAACTTCAACAGGTCAGGTTTTGAACATTCTTCTTTGGATTTTGAGTGGTGTTATTGTTGGAAACGAACAACACAAAAAGCATTAAAACCATGTGATGCAAGATACATGTATATGCCTTTAATCAGACAAGTTAGAATTAGAGAACGGCAGTCAGATCTTGTATTCATTCTTATGTGCTTGTTTGTTTATGCCGGGTTGTCAGTGATTACCATACTCGTGTTCATTGATTGCTGTCTATATTTCAACAAATTTCAGAAATTCTTTGCCGGTGGTACGCCCCAACTTGGTCGTCGGTTCCAACATATGTTGGGCCGGTACAACTACACACCTATGTCCAACGCCCCTATGTTCTGACTAAAGATGTGGGATTTAAAAGTTTAAACGCTATGGGAGAATTTATCTAACATGTATGTGCGGTTTGTCGGAACGTAGGGATGTCGGAGCTGGGCAGGCCCAACATGGGCTGCAACCTCTTTCAAACGTACACCTGCAGCGCCCAACCCAAGTTAGGTCTGCCCAACTTGAACGATCTACTTTGGCTCATGCTGGGACAGGCCCCATGTATGTTGGGATCGACCAAGTTGGGGTGTATCAACTGGCATTTACAGTTGAAGCCTTACATTTGCTCTCATTTTTTTTCTCCAATTCTGAACTCATTTGTCGAGTTTTAAATGAAGACAGCCGTTTCAAGTTGGAAATATGCTAATTTAATCACACCTGCCTATTTGCCTGATTGTTACCCTTGTTAAAACCCAAAACTTAATAACAGAGATGTAATAGACAGCTTGCAGAATGTTCCGACGTTGAGGGCAGGTCTTTTTTCCTCTGTAATACGCATGAGTAGAAACTCTGTACTTGTTTGCACTGTCTCTGAACGCAAGCTGTCTATTCTGGTTGGAAAACAGACAGCTCATTTTGCGTAATCACATTTTGTGCCGTTTCATGGCGCTGCTAACTTGATGACCCTGGATGACACTACTATCAACTGGCTGACCTCAAACCTCCAAGTTGAGACAATAATGGTGTCCATACGAAAGAACGAACGAACGTTTGCCGCACACATTTGATAGAACTTAGAAGATAGTTTTGAATAACGTTGGGCACTACATGTATACTTTCTAACAAACAGATCTGATGAGTTGTAGTTTGATCACGTCGGAATGGATGGCGAGCTGGTGAGGCATCTCGGAGGTTGCCATTGCGGGGCCGTTAGGTTTGAGATCATGGCTCCAAGGAAAGTGACAGTTTACAACTGCAAGTAAGTATTAACTCCACTCATGTGGATGCACCCTTTTGAGAACCGTGGAGGGCGCACAAAGCCGTGCTCCTATACCTTTCAAGGTGTTAACCTAACCCCCTAGGCCCTTGTTGCTTACAACCATCCTAAATCCTCCAAAATTTTCCAAATTTTGCAACTCCGCCTAAATTTTTCAAAATTGTCAGACAGTCCTGCCTCAAAATGCATTCATCCTCAATCCTCCAAAATCCTCCTCATCCCAAAACTTTGCACTCGTGTTTAAATGAAGGATAACCAACGCCAAATCCTTCAAAATCATCAGACAATCCTGCCTCAAAATGCATTCATCCTCAATCCTCCAAAATCCTCTTGCGCTTCAATCACCATTCATCCTCAATCCTCCAAAATCCTCATGTGCTTCAATCACCATTCATCCTCAATCCTCCAGAATCCTCATTTGATTCAATCACCATTCATCCTCAATCCTCCAGAATCCTCCAAAACCGCCAGGAGGATTTTGGAGGAGTGAGGTGGGTTAGGGTTAAATGCCATGGTTAGTCTTACAACAAGACCGACTTGATTTTTCCCCCCTATTAACTGCTCACTGACAAGTGCAGCCAAAGAGCCTTTTGGTAGAGGACGCTAAACAACGAGATGAATCCAAGCCAGTCTTGGGAACTTTGGCAATGCCACCCACAAAATTCTGACCGTGCAAAATTTACATAAAATGAATGCAATAAACTAAACGTACAAATAATTGAAATAAGAACAAATTTTCCTTATAGACTGTCACAGTTCTGAATTACATTTTGACTAAAGCAAACGTTCTTCAGATATTGTGCAATGTTTGGCAACTTTTCATCATCGTAATTTTTAACAGTCTAGAACAAATTCTTCATGTGTACTTTTTTCATGAGCAAAATATTCAATTTGGGTAAAATGTAATTTTCCTTCCCAACCTGTTTAAAAATTGGATCTAAGGATTTAATTTAAATTGAAAACAAATAGCCAAGTCAATTTTTGTAAGTTCTTTCATTCAGAAATTAAATTCCATTCTGAGATTTAATTATGTTTTTTTTCTATTGCATTTTCTAGTTGCAGCATATGTACAAAGAAGCAGAACAGGCATTTCATCGTTCCCAATTTTCGCTTCAAACTATTGCAGGTAGGTCTTTGGGACAGAGATATGATATCTTGACTACCTTAACCCCTTGCGTACGGGTTGTAAATGCATAGCTTACAAGCATGACTGCACAGTGGCCTTTGTCCGCTACCATGTAGGGCGAACGCAGCACACAAGCACGGCTCACACGCATACCCGTGGTGATTAGCGGAAGGCGGGTTTACAGCTATGCCCGCTCCCCAGCGTCAAGGGGTTAATTTACAACGGTCAATATCTTTTGAAAACAAGACAAGTTAAGCCTAGTAAAGCTGGTCCCAGAGTACACAACCTTCTATTCTAAAGACTCGGAATAGTTCTTCATTGCGGAAAGTCTTCATGCATTTGTTCTGTAATTAGCCCACTCATTGGCATTAAGGGGAATCCAATAAGATAGCACTGCCCAGCTTACAGTTAGTGAATGAGTCTGTCTGTCTGTCTGTCTGTCGGTCAATCAGTCAGTCAAGTCAGTCAGTCAATCGGGGAGTAGGGGAGTCAGTCAGTCATTAGGGAGTCTGTTGGTCAGTCAGTCTGTTGGTCAGTCCGTCAGTGATAAAAAAGACACTAGGCTGGCAGCGAAATTTCTTTTCCCAAACTAGATCGGACAATATCAAAAGAGGGCGCTCTCTCTGCGTTATGTATATTCATGATGTCCAGGGAAATTAGAGAATAAGTTATATCACAAGGAATAATAGTGTTTAAATCACCGACGATTTGCAGCTCATTCGTGGACTGGTTGGAAGAGGTCCTGACTTTTAATCAGGTGATCCGAGTTCGAATCTCAGTGAGCTTTTTTCACTTCTTCTCATTTTTCCTTTTAAATAACTAAAGTGAGGTAGTGACGTAAAGCCTATCTTGGGTTTGTGTTTATGGAGAACAAGGCAATAGATATGCATGTAATGGACCAATCAGAAGATGGAAAGCGGATGTCGTTTGGGGAAAAAAAATTCGCAGGCTGGCCCTCTGGGACCAGCAAAAAACAACGAAAGAATACAATATGCTTATATATAAACAAACACATGAAATAGGCCATTATCTCATGAGCTGGTAAACAAAATTATTGAAAGGGTTGAAATAATGCATCTTTGTCAAATCTTGGACCCAAATTGTGATGCAAGTACTAAATAGGGAGCAGAAATACCTGTTAATTGTGATTTGTAATGTTTAAAGAAATGCTTTCCTGAGTATTTGTCTTTGTCTACACCCGTAGGGCTCTCTTACTGACCCACGTGACCCGGCCTACATCCGGGTACCGGAAGGTCAATGTCGCCATTGTAGTAGGCGAAGATCATATAGCGCTGCGTGCAGGAGGTAGTTGGCAAGCCTTCAAAGCTGTGATGGATGGCAAAAACTGTGAGAAAAACGCACAGCCCATCCCCAGTGCTGGGTCGGTACGATCACACAATTGTACACCAGTACACCAGTAGTGACCATTCTATTTAATAAAGAATTTACGGTTTATATGATGTGAACATAACCCTACTTTTCACTAAGGGTTGCATTCAAAAGCGTTTACATTGTTGAATGAAATTTTGCTCCAGCCATATCTAGTCTGGTTTTTGCTTTTAATACTCACAAACAATTATATTTCACTTTTGCAGGGAAGCTTTTTATATGCCAGGAAGTTGTAATCTGTCTGTTTATATCAGGTTGATAATGGGAACAATAATGATAAAAATGGTAACCTGTATAGTGGACGAAAGAAACAAAAACATATCACAAAATGATTTAAAAAAAAAAGTGATAATTTTCAGGTGACATGTATAAGGATACACATATATTACAAGTTTTAAACTTTTTCTAATGGTTAAAATATTTAGAATCTCAGTCTCAACAAAAAAAATAGCATTTTATGTTTTCTATTCGCAAGTGATCATTTTGAAAGAAACAAGAGAAATGTGGGGAAAATCCATTTTTTTTATTAAATTATTTTTCAGGGAGAAGATAATCTAACATGCTACACGTACAACACCAAAGCAGCTCAGCACACGTTTTGTAAAACCTGCGGAGTCCAGAGCTTCTACACACCCAGGTCTCACCCTGATGGCAAAGGTATGTATTTTGCAATCTTAATATAATACATGTATCTGTCTAATAATTATAAAGTTAAACAAAGAAACTGGCTGCCTATGGGCTCCGTGCGCCAACAAAAGAGGGCGCCCTTTTACCTTGCAACGACGTCCCATGGGCCGGACACATACATTTCACTGGTTGACGTGCGCGCACCATGCCTTGTGTGTGACGCACGTACACCAGGGGATTTGTACTATGTACACGCAGTGGCCACGCTACACGGCAAAATTGAAATTGCAGTCAGGCAATATGGCGTCGTTCGGCCACCCCCAACTGTACTTTCTTTGCCGGTGAGGGGGGTACTTGTGAACGGAGCGGATAGATCAATGTATCGGCGCTTTATCCACTGAGCCATCCAACATTGTGACTTTGGGTGTGATCCCTGGCTAAATGGCAACAAATATACAGGTATATGGCTTCTGACTAGCACCCCTTGAACAAAGTTAGTAGTTAAGTCTGTCATGAGCCAATATAGCTCAACAGGCTACATTTATCTCCGGGTTCCTACAATAACTGACGATATTTCTATCGCCCCCCTGGATGGGATGCTGGTCCATCGCAGGTTACTCCCCATCGAATGCTGGTACCCATTTATACTCCTGGTTGGAGAGAGGCAAGTTGGCTTGAGTGGCTTGCCCAAGGAGAAGGGAGGGGCATGAGGAGACTTGACATCATGTGAAACTTTGAAGTTGCTTAGATTTATACATAGAGAGGGTGGAATTGCGTAAAATCAAACACAATTTTGACCATTTACAATATTTATTCAAACAATGTGGAAGACAAATTTTGTATCATACACACATTAAAGTTGGTGGAGGAAGTTACATTTTGCATGTGACAGTTGCACCCCACCCCATTGTTTCCCCCTCCTCCTCCGAAAAAATAAAAATAATAATACAATTCAGGTAAGTGCTTCTTTGCATAAATTTCCGGGTTAACAATCTTCAGTTGTTCTGGGAAAAGCAAGCGTAAGTTTAAAAATTAAAAAAGGCTCAGTCTGAAATGGTGTATGTTTATTTTGAATTTTTACAGGTGTGGCACCCCACTGCCTGGACGAAGGAACACTAGAAGGCGTCACAGTGGTTGACTTTGATGGAGTCCACTGGACCCAGAACATGGCACAGAATACGGGTAACATCAAGGAGATGTCTAAAGAGAATGACAAACTCAGTGACCAGTGAGTGCTGTCTTGTATTCATCAAAACCCGAGACAGTTCACCAATTCCTATTGGTCGAGAGCCAGTCATGCAGGTGATTATAAATTACCGCCGGTAAAACACCGCTGCATTCTGCGCCACATCACGAAGTATGCGCCGCGTACACGCCAATTTCCATATAAGGAGATTTTTAGTACTAGGCACAAGAGGCACATGCCATAGACATGGCCAGAGGGGTTTTCCACAAAAAAATGGAGTAAAATTGTTAACTCGTTGGAAATTTGTGGATGTTAGAATTGTGTTGACTGTTTTACCAAAAGGTATGTAGAATGGGAATAAATATGGGCTTGGCCAGTATGAAACAATTACATTTAAAACTGATTAGGGACCTGGATAGGGATAACGAAAAACCGGCCAAGCACATATTTATTCCCTTATTGAAGTTGCATTTCCCGTGCTCTTTGACAAATTCAATTTTTGTTTTTCTTGTGGTAATGAATTTTCAAGTTGTACATTTATTTCAACCAAAAACCTTTTTTTAGGGTCTTTTTGGGGCATCTACAACCCTCTGAAAAAAACCCAAGCAGTTTAGATTTTGGTCGCAAACAGAGCAGACTGGCTCCCGGTCTATACATTATTGATACTGATTGCAGGGTGGGAGCCAGCCTATACCTGCGAAAACAATGGAATTCAATTTGTTTGATGTCTCATTAAAAGTAAATAATAAATAATAATAATAACAACATTTATAAAGCGCCTTTTACTTATTCTTGAGGGTAAAACTTGAAAATGGCATGGGAAATCATCTTTAAACTTGAAGTAGTCATTGTACTCATACTCGTACCAGTCCTTCTGATTTGAGGCGTGCGATCACACCCCCACACCATCGCACACCTAAAAGCTTCCCGAGAAGTGTGAATAATTGCACGCCTGAATTTCCCTGGACCACAGATCACACACCTAGAAAACCACACACCTAGAAAAACCACACAAGAAAAATCCAGGTGTGTCTTTTTCCACACGCCTGTGATTTTCAAATCAGAAGGACTGTCGTACATGAGTACACTTTTAAGTACTCGTACTTGTACTTATGACAAAGTAAATTGACTGCAAGCAAGGTTTGAATCTGTGACCTTTGGATTGCTGTTTATGGCTAGCACCCATAAAAGGCAAATTGGGTAACCACCAACATAGGGATGGATAGCTCAGTTGGTAGAGCACCAGAACGACAATCTGGAGGTGGCAGGTCAAACCCCGCTCCAGGCAATTGCTTTTTTAATTTTGAAAATTATAAAACCTTTTTTTATATTACACAGATTTGAATCTCCTTAATAATGCTTCAGGTACTATTGTTCACCTACATACTGTTTTTTACTGAAAAAAAGTCGTTAGTATTGAAGAGATATTTGTCTTTCATCAGCAAGAATTCTTCAGGTGTTCAGGAGGCTACAAGGTTTTAAAAATTTTCTATTATAAAACCGTTACTATGTAAACTTTCAACTTATTTTTCTATGGTTTCAGGTATTTATGAATGATTAAGCACATATGTTCTTTTTGCAATGTACAATGCAATCGTCCGTATATAAGAGAGCCATCAGACATTTTCAAAACGGACATTTTATATGCTTTTCAGTGTATTTTTTGCTATGGTTTCAGGGTTTTAAACGCTTTAAATGTCTTTTGCAATGCACATTGCAACCAAAAGTATATTGAAGAGGTATGCAATGTATCTGTTTTCCATCAATTTGCATTTATAAAACAGGCATTTTATAAACTTTTCAACTTTTCATTAAATTCATGTGTATCAAAAATATGTTTTTATGTGTGTGAGAGTACTACTGAATGCAATCACCGCTACACTATAAGCACAAACTGTGCTGTGTTCACGAGTTCAATGTTCACAAGTTGTTGCCCGTGAAGGGGCGACAGGCAATAAGCCGCCACCCCGCAACGTGGGTGATGCGAAGCCTCCCAATGTTAAATAATTGAATTAATGTATGTGAAATTACTGGAAGTACTGAAAAATAATTCAACAACAGTTATTCAATATTAAGTTTGTGGTCATGTACACTTTAAAGGGACAAATTATGGCCTGGAATGCGCCCACAAAATGTTTTTCAAATGAAATGTAATTAAAGAGAAAGTGCAATATAAACGTTCACACAACCATCTTTTAAAATACTGGGCATTTTTGTGTTATTCTCGTGAGAACCATGCAAGAATGAATTTCGGAGGTCACACATAGGTATGCCACAGAACGTCTGTCGCATCTGAAGTAAACAACCAGTTTTTTGGGTCTTTTCTCAGGAACAGTGAGACATTAGGTTTTACTGTCATTGGACCGTTGAAATAGTAAACAATCCAAAACATGACATTTTCGGGGATTTCATGCCATAATGCCCCTTTAATTGTAAATGGATAATAGTATTGCCTTTGACATGCAATCACTGACAGAACCTTTTACATGTATACCTACATTTATATTTAGTATTCAATCCCAGCAGATTATACAAACAGGGTAACCAGTATGTAATTTAGAGATGAACTTTGGGTGATTCTAGAAATTGATGGTCCAAAGTGTGACATATTTCCTGTCCTTGTCATCTTGGTACTTTATTATTCAGAATTATAACATAAAAGATGTCGGATGTAACAGGGACAAGAAAATAGTGGACCCCAAATTTAAAGAGTAACCCTTTTACCTTTTTAAAATCATGGTTATCTTCAATAACAAACTGGATGGTACTTAATAATTTTGTTGAACCCCCCCCCATCACAAAATCAAATGTTATTTATTATATAATGAAAAACTAATGCCTTAATTTTTATAATTGGCTTTTATGAACTCCAATTTTTAAAATGTATTGTGAATGATACATCATGTAAAGTAATTAATGGAAAGTGATTTTTAATAAACAAATGAAGTGGCACTAGCTGTCATACAGAAAAAGCACTGTTTTGTCCTTTGTCGTTATTTTTTTGGGTGTAAGTACAAAATTATTGACTTATGTAGGACCATTTGTTTTTTTTCACTTGAAGCAAAAAATCTAAAGTAGGGTGAACTGCATAACAACTAACTTGTTTAAGTTTCAACACTGTGGATACTCCACTTTAGGGAAAAAACTGAAAAATCATGCAAAGTTGTGGGGCTCGCATTACTGGAGTCTGTTGTGTTGGTAATAAAAGTGGTTTTTTTTTTTAGAACCACCTTCAGTGATTGTATTCTGAACGATTTCACAGGACAAGTGGTACAATCCCTATTTTTACTTTGAGCAAGGTTTGGTCCATTTCTGGGTAATTGTAACAAATGTTCTAACGTTAAAGAGTATAAAGTCGAAGCCGCTGCTGACAAAATTAACCCGGAGTTTCGAAAACATCCGCAGTACAGCGGTGCAGGAGCCCGCCCTCTGTAGTTTAAAAATGACCTATGGAAAGCCGCATCTTCACGAATTCGTTAATCAGCCGGGTATTGCCGCACTCATTCTGCTCATTCTTACATTTAAAGAAAAAGCAAAGCAAGCAAGAAAATAAACACGAAAAAATTGTATTACAATGTTCGCGATTGTGTAACCTTAATATTTTCGAATGGTTCCTCTGCAGACTCAAGTTTCAAATTTTCTTTTATTAAACGCAAAACACACTTTGTATAGTGGTGTTCCCTACACGTGGCACACTGAACTTCGACTTTCCACATGCAGTGTTGCCAAACTTCTTTGTTGAGAAACTTCACATTCATTCAGTTAAATGTTTAACCGTTGACATGCAATTAATACTATAGTCTGAAATTCAAAAGCGGTCGCGTCCAGAAATCGCAAATCCCAAAAAGCTTGGAAATCACTAGTTGAACTTAAGCCAGAATTTCTTTATGAGTTGATACATTCTGATGAACCATTATTTTCTCTACTAACAAAACCTAACTACAATTTGGTCAGAAAATGATTTTCTTAATTTTGGGCACATTTTCAAAGGGTTCACTGTGCACTTCGACATAAAATCGGAATATCATGCCAAAATAAGTTTCAGGTTCTACTAATTTAACATGCGATTTATGAACGGAAATGTTTAGCGCTTGACGGAATTTCACTTACTGTGAAATTTCAGGTAAAAGTTTTGCTTAGCAAGGCACTAGAGGCGAAAAATCAAGGTGCACCTCGTTAGGGACTGCGCTACGCATCAACCATCATCTTGTAATCATCTCCGATCTCACAATTTCGTTACTTAGAGCTTCTGGCTTCAAATATGTAGGGAATATTTTATGGATACATTAAGCTATAGTAAATTAAATATATCTCAATGCGCATGGATCATCAATTGACTTATTCGCGCAACATATGCCAACTTGAAAGGGCCCATGAAGTGAATATTTCTTAGGAACATATTTTGCGCTACTTTCTATAATCCTCATATAGTGTATGAAAACCAATTGATATTCCTTTTTGGTTAATTTTGTTGATAAGTGAACTTCTTTAAACATTGAAGATTTTTCATGCTTTTCAGAACAACCGAGGGCGCTGTTTTTGTGATGTCATTTCAGGGAGACACTGTTCATATTAGGGTTTTTTCTGTTGAAATATTGGCAAAAAATTCTTAAAAACATCTTAGAAAAGTCTTGCTCATTGGCTTAACGCAACAACAACGAATCACTAATGCTCATAAATATGGAAATTCGCATAAGCATAAAAACCAAAAAGACACCAAAATACCCTTGAAAATTACAAAATGAAAATTCAAAATAAGGTTAAAGGGACACAAGGTTCATTTTCAAGGATTGCATTAAAAAACAATTATACATTTCATGAGCCCGTAATTGTGCGGTCGCATTCCTTTGAGGTTTGCGGTGTGATACACTTCGTTGTACGTTTTGCCGACAATAGTCCTGTTAAATGGGTCGATACAAAAATCATTTACGCACATAGAGACCGTTTTAGCCGATATTCGGCTAACTTTGACAGATTTTTTTTTATAAAACGAGTTTGACAGAAAATTTGACAGAATGTATATTTTTGGCAGATTTCTGGCAGAATTCTGCAAAAATGGTTATTTGACAGAAAAACAGCAAATTTGCAAAAAAATGGTACATTGGTTTACAAAAGCTTCAATCTTTTCAAACAAATCCTTGCAAAATAGGACAGGTTGCCCGGTCTAGGTGCTGAGGTTCACTGGGAACCGGATTTCGTTGTGACGCAACTGCGTTTTGCCTGAAATTTACGCAATTTCATATTATCTTTATGTGGCTATAGATGGTTTATAATGTAATTTGAACATTAATTAAGGCAATATTACAACATCTGCATGTGATTTAAAGTGTTTACAGTATATTTCGCGTAATTCTGGGGAATTTGGCAGATTTTTGATAAATCTGACAGATTTTTGAAGTGCATTTAGCAGAATTTAGTCATGACCTTACGGTCACCCTGTTTTCGCATCTAATCAACTCGGATCGTACGCACACAACGAACCCTTTTAAATTTGAGCTCTAAAACATCATTCATCGTTGAGTTAATGAACAGTCAATAGACAATATGTTCACATTTGTTTCTTAATTATTTCTTGATGAATCTCAGAGACGTCTGTTAAGAAGGCAGAGCAGCATGTCTTCGATGTTGCGCACGAAGGCAAACCAACTTGTCCAGACCGTGCAGGGAGGAACCGACCGGTGGGTGTCATGGCTCAAAAGCACGGCATTCCGAGTGATCGCAATCCTGGTGCTCGTAACGCTGCAACTATGGCTGTCAATCTTCCTGTACGGCAGTTTCTACTACGCCTACATGCCCACAGTCTCACATATCAACCCCGTCTATTTACAGTTCAGGTTCGAACGATTTTGTTTTGTTTCTTCTCAAAAGTACAAATAGAAATTCAGGTTAGAGTTCGAATGGTTTTATGCCATTATGGCATTAAGTATACCATGGAGCTATAGCTCCATGAGTATACCAACAAATTTGGCATCAATCATCATGATTATTGATCATATAACACAACCTTTTTTGGCTAGGGCTATCTATTTTCGACTAATTTAATATTTGATTATTCGGAATTGCGTTTCACCAAATGCATGAAATATCAAATTATTTGAAACTCTCTGATCAAGTTTATTAATGCAGTGCACACACCAGCTGCAAGCTGCATGCAAAACATGCCAGTTAAATCGATCGATATTATGGACTGCTGGACCTGGAGTGAAGTAGGTATTTTAAGTGTCAAGGGTTTTGCTAAAAGGATGGAACAACGATCCACCGTGTACAAACAAAAGTGGCATCTGATAATAAAACTTAATTAAAATAAGGTAGTGTATATTTTGCCGGAGGTAACGCCGGCAAACTAACGTTTACTAAAGGTTTGCCGGTGGCAATCCATATCAACAGAGGGCGCTGTACTCTTTAAGATAGGGCTGAATTATAACATGTATTAAATTCCCACCAAAGTTGTGTAGCACAATCGGTGCAGTGGTTAAGCAATAGCTCCAATGAGTGGGATGTCCCGAGTTCGAATCCTGACCCCCGCCACAATTTTAAGTTTTTTTTTTCCAATCCCCAAATAAATAAGAATATTCTTCTTTTACTATTTTAATATGTCTCAAACATTTTATTGCAGAGTAGTACTTTTTCTTTTTCAGATTTGTGGCTCCGGAGGATTTTTTTTAAAGGGAAATAAAGTCCGAAATTATAAAATGGTCTGATTCCCATCTTGTTAATACAAAAATACAACGATAATATTGGCATGGAGCCAGACTAAAATTTGTCACCGGAAAATGTTTAAGTACAAAAAAACAGTAACTGCGCATGTTCAGTGCATATCCGGCAAACTAACGTTTACTGAAGGTTTGCCGTCTCCGGCAAAATATCCACTGCCTTAAAATAACATCGCAGTCATGACAGTCGTGTGTACACATGCATAGTTTTTAGGCAGTGGATATTTTGCCGGAGACGGCAAACCTTCAGTAAACGTGGACGAATTAGTAATTCGTGGGAACGAATTAGCAAATCCCCTCCAAAAATTCTACCCTGTCCCTTCCCGGGCTTCATACCCAGGTTTTAAAGTATGGTTGTGTGGACATTTATATCCTACTTCTAAATGCTCTAGTTCCAATTAACATCATGTAGTTGAGGACACATTTTGTAACCCAATAAGCCATTTGCAAGTTAAATTTGTAAAAAAATCTGGAACACTGACTTAATCCAATGCTTTGTACGTTTTAACTTTGCATTCTCCCGATCAAAGAGACTGTTACTATATCACATGATTCAGGGCAAGCCTTATGCTAGCAACGCCCAGCTCCGGCATGGTATGGTGTCTTTGTGCCATTCTCACCCATTGTGAACAATGTATTGGTGCTGAGCGTCTTTTACGTAACTATGCAAGAGCTTGCCCCGAATCATGTGATTAGCAACAGTGTCTTTGGTCTGGAGAGTTCAAAGTTGAAAGGTGCCAAGCATTCTGAGCAAGTCAGTGTACCAGATGTTTTTCAAATTTAAATCCCAAAGGGTATACATGTAGGTCACTCGCGGTGCACTCCCGATGCAGCATAGTATAAAAGAGTCCTGTTTATTACATCACGATTTACTATGTTTTGTTTGCTGCCCCCAACGACGACTTTTACACAAATTGCACGTTAGGGTCGAAACAGGACCTGAAAAACGCTCTCAAAAGTACTTTTGTACTCATTTCATGACAGACACAATAGTCGTTTTTATTTCATCACACCTTAGGCTACATATACCCGAAAAATGACGGAAATGTCTTCGAGCATTCCACAACCTCTTTAAGTTGGCACACTGTTTCTCTGTAGAGACTTTGCAGACACCAAAATTAAAAAGCAGTGTTTGCCAATGAATAGGCCAAGAAACCTCAGTATACATGGAACAGAGTTTCACCAATGTTTGCAGCTTCCAAATGTCTTTACGGGATTGAAAAGGTCACTGCTCAATAATGCCCTCACCTTTTTTTGCTCACGGCTCATACACTGTAGGCCCTACATATCTCACAATTGAAATGTGTACTTAACATGGGTTTTGAATTCTTGGTGCTAAAGACGTAACTCTTTGTAATATGCATTTGTTACTGGTACCCTCAGATCTTGACAATTAACCAACATTTCCTGTCTTTATATTGGAATTCATTCAGAATTAGGAATACTTGTTTTTGTAATCGAAACAACAAAAAGTTGATATGAGTCATTCTAGCAAATTGAGACGGAACTGGACACAGGCCATAGTGGAGAAAATTGGGGTGGGGGGGGGGAAACGAATCCATTATTTTCTTTTGATTTTTAGATTTATTGATATTTGTAAATTTTGATATGTCCACTACACATGCATGTATTTTAAAGAAATAGTAAACTTATCTTGGAATAAAAGTTTTTTTATGAAAAAACAATTGGCATCTTTCATATTCACCAATTACAAAACTTAAAACTCTAAAGGCCTTTTTCTCAATATTTGAAATATTTTGGCATGTTGATAAATCCGAACTTTCAACAGCCATAACTTGTCAATGTTATGTCCGATTGAAGTGCAAATTATATTCTCTTTCCTGATACCCGCAAACCCTCATTTTAACTTCAGCCCAGTCCTGTCTCATTTTGCCAGAACTCCTCACATTATTATTTCATACATTTACCATAAGGCGATCCCAGTTTCCCATTGTAACTTGGAGGGCTCTAAGGCCAAGTTAAAAAAAAAAAAAAAAAAAAAAATTGTCCCTGCCCCTTCCTTTTTTCCCGGCCACCTCTTTTCTTTTTCTTTTTAAATCGATCATTTGCAATATATTTAGGTTTTTTTCATGTTCTTCCAGCAAAATTGTAGCTATGAATGCAAGTTCAGAATCTGTCTTTTAAAAGGCAAATGGAAGAGTACATCTCGGAAAATTCGCCATCTTGAAAAAAAACCCAAATCTATGGTTCCTTCCAACTCTCTCATTGTATTCATTCAGCTGAATCGTCACATCACATTGTTATAAAATTTAATTCTGTCTAATGTAAGTAATGTATTCATCAGTTAAAAAAAAAGAGTTAAAGCAAGTGTGCCATGATAACAGCTGTAATAAAAAACCAAATCACAATCATTATCCTTTTTTTCTCCACAGTTCATGCAAGGAGTTTGGTCCACAACCGAATTGTCCCTTTCCTAGCGTGAATTCAACTTTACAAAAGAACCCGGAAATGGGCAGCGTAAGTCGAAACTTCTTTTTGTCGTCATTGTCGTAGATTTTAGAGCTCAGTGTAAGCCAGGGCACAATTACCTTCCATACCTGCATGTACTGTGGACATTCCTTTGTTTTCATGAAGTTAAGAAAACTCAGAGAAAGAACTCACTTTACCCGCACTGTGAACACTCTTTCAACCCAAATTTTTATCATTATTTTCGTCGGTGTCCCTCTGCGTTTTGCGACGGAGTAGCCTAACCCCAAAATGCCTCTAAAACTGTTTTCAGAGAAGGGGAAACGTTGTGTGGACATGTGCAAGTCCACAAAATGTTCACACTTCCTGCAGCCTGTGGACCTCTTTTGTTCACTGGTCCACAGAGAGTATGCAAGGTTAGAGCACGCGTGTGTCTTACGTGAACACTGCTTGGGGCCTTGTTCAATGCACCCCACTCAATCGCACTGCTAACTGCAATTTTTTGCCATCCCACCACTTAAAAAGGGAATGACAAACCGTTGAAACCAGCGCTTTGGTCAAGACTAACACTCGCTGTTATCCGGTTTATGCTCATTACAGCCATTGCCTACATGTACATTGCATCTTGTGTAATCGTTGAGTGTGTTTATGTACATACTATCTATGTTTAATCTTTTGATAATTTTCCTGGGCCAAGGTCCATCAAAACAAACGACATAACCCGTCAAATTTTGTATTGGCACGTTTCATGTGGCAGCTACTTGTGGAAAATTGAATCTGCCGATTTGTTCTGCAGCACATGCAGCATACATGTACAAGCTGTAATCCGGAGTAATTATTACTTTGGTGCTACCTGCAATGGTCGTTAAAGCCCTTGAGTACAGTGTCTTTTGCCCATCATAATGTACAAATGTACGATAGGCCTATATGCTCATCGCAAAAACAAAAAACAAATCAAACACAAAATCCAAAGTTTTTTAAGACATAATATTAAGAAATTAAAGATAATTGATGTATCCTGGACTAAAGCTGCATTTCCAGTGTTTGCATCTGATATGATACTGTTTAAATGATTCGGCCTTTGCATTTACAATTTTAAAAGATAATTTCAATAAATATGACATCATTTCCTCTCTTTGTAAATAATGTAATCACTTATGTCATGATCCATACCCAAAATAAATAACAGAATTTATTCGAAGACATTTTCATTTTTATAAGTAATTTAATTGAGAAGCTTGTTTCTTTTGGCACAGCTTCTGAGGAGAGGCCAGAAATATCGGGTTCTGTTAGAACTAGAGATGCCACAGTCTCCAGTCAATGAAAATCAAGGTATGTGAAAGCTTATTTTTATACCCTTATAAAGAATTTCTCAATTTGTTATGTTAAAATCATGATCAATTTCGTGGAGATCATTGGAAAAAAAAGGTTACGCAATAAGGCTAAAGGCTCTCTGAAATTGTGCCAAGGCCGAGCTCTTGGTACAATTATATTTGGGTAAAATCAGAAAGAAAAACATTGTTTTTCACTCTGTTCCAACTGCTGCCTAAAAACATGAGTCCTCTGTTATTGGGTCTGTCACTGCAGTCACCAGCTACATTTTACAATATTTGATGTGTCAATATGCATCGTTGAGATACTTTTACTTGTTTAATACATAGCATGTCCTGTGTTACAGTTATTGGTACAAAAAGATGGTACTGAACTACTCATGATAATATAAAAATCTTGGAATTAGAATTGAAACAATAAAGTTAAACTGGAACTCCTTGCCAGGCGAGTTGAGGGCAACTCAGTACTTGCATGACTTGTCTCTCGTCAAATGCTTAAAAATCTTAAAAATCAACTCTGTAATATATTTTTCTTCTCAAACGTTAGTGACTTTATCCAAGTACCGGTGTCTTTCAATGATTTTATATTAGGGCTGTGTATTTTCCAATAATTTAATATTCAATCATTCGACCTTGGATTCAATCGAATATTGAAACAGTCAAAACACAACAAACAAGTTTTACACACGCCAGCCTGATAACTGCATTTGCCAGTTGGAAGTTGCACCTGCCAGTCCGGAAGCGCAAGAACACACCCTGGTTGCAGTTTGCATGCATCGATTGGGAATTTGAATGGTTCCCTGATCAGGATTTGCATGCACAGCGAACTTTATAAATATTAACAACATCATATATGAATTTTTATGACCAAAGACCCGAAATAGAAAGCGTCCGCTGATTGGTCAAACTCTAGGAGGTCAAGAGGCGAGGTCTTGCCTAATTAATTAGCGAATCTGTTCACGTATACTAAGCTAATACTTGGAGGATTTTAAAGATGCAAAGTTATACAGTGAAAATGACATCACAGGCATTTCTCGTCATCTTCTCGAGACTGGTCACATGTTTCGAAAATTTGAATTGGTAAACTGCTATTCGGATATTCGGCAGATGATTGAATATTCAAATATTTGAATATTCAATATACATGTATTCGGCACAGCCCTATTTTAGATTCAGATCCTGTACCTTCTAAGTGCTTTGTAATATTGAACGAAACTTTCAGATTTGAACTTGTTGTATGTTTACAGGTGTATTTATGGTGAGAATGGACATATATGCAGCTGATGGGGAAATTACAGCGTCGTCATCCCGTCCAGTGAGTGCTGTTGTGTCATATAGTTGATACCATTTTGAGAATACTGTCCATAGGATGAAATTTGCGTCGGGGTTATTTACATTCAATATTGAGTTTTGCCCGTCATCGATGTATTATGTGAACAGTGTACACATATGTACGTGTATACTACTCGGTGCTGAGTTCTGCTCGATATCAGATTCGAACCAGCCAGCCAAGCCCGGCAAGCTCAGTGGCCGAGTGGTAAGGTGTCTGCACTAGCAAGCAGGAGGTCATGGGTTCGAGTCCCACCAGAGTAGTTTGTGAATCCTCCCCCCCCCCCCTCTTTACTTGGACAGCACTGAGTATAGAGTGTTTATAAAAAATATATCAGTGACTGGCAAAACCCAGTATTGTTTTTTAGGGGGAGGGGGTAAGGGGAAAATTAGGGTGGCATGAAAATTTTGCTTTTTAGTCCCAAAACAACAAAATTTTCTTTTGCCTATACCTTTATTGTTATTTGTTTTCTTGTCTTTCAGGCCATGATGCACTACCAGTCCAACCTCTTGAAAACTATACAAACGTTATTCTATATTCCCTTGTTGTTGACGGGATACAGCGAAGAAAAACAGACCATCACCGTCAGCTTGATGGAAAATTTTATTGACAATCCGGTAAGTGACATGAATCCAAAATGCCTGGGTGTTTTTGCTAGGAAGTGAAGTAATATTAAAGAACTACTTTTTGTAACCGGTTACAAAATGCAAGAAATTACCTGAGACTAAAACAGAAACAATTGTGTGTTTATGGTAAATCTGACCCGCATTGTACCTGGATTTTTTAAGGCAAAATAACCGACCTCACTTTTTTTTTTTTTTTGAATTAAAATATTTTAATTTTTAACAAATGACATGATGTAGCACTGTTGTGTACATGCCATTTGGGTTGTGAAATTGTGTGACATGCTTCGGTTAGTCTTTAGTTACTTGTTTAACTCGAGATGCAAAAATGGCAAGAACTCCGTCGGAAGTGTCATTTTGTAATAAGCCATTTACGAGTTAAATTTGAATAAAATCTGGAACACTGACTTAATCCAGTGCTTTGCACGTTTTAAGTTTGCATTCTCCCGACCAAAGAGACTTTTACTATAACGTGATTCGGGGCAAGCCTTATGCTAGCAACCCCCAGCTCTGGCATGGTATGGTGTCTTTGTGCCATTCTCACCCATTGTGAACAATGTATTGGTGCTGAGCGTCTCTTACCTAATTATCCGAGAGCTTGCCCCGAATCGTGTGATTAGCAACAGTGTCTTTGGTCTGGAGAATTCAAAGTTAAAAAGTGCCAAGCATTCTGAGCAAGTCAGTGTACCAGATGTTTTTCAAATGTAAATCCCAAAGGGTATAGGTTACTCGCAAATGGCTTGGCCAAATGAGTATGGTTTGTTCTCATGTATGTTAAAAATTGAACATTTTTGTTGGCATCATTGTTTTCATCGACAGTACAAACCGTTGCTTGGAGCACACATTGAACTCCAAGCCAGAAAGCTAGAGATTTATTCCTCAGTGCTAAAGATACAAGCTTACTTCTCAGGGCTCAGGTGAGTGACAAAAGGTGTTTTTGAAATCTCGGCTTAGTCTGTCAGCTACGCACAATGCTTTGCAATGTCTTCATTGAACAAACGTTTTGTGCAAGAGATCAGTGGTCACCATTCCCCTTGGGTAGGGCAGTGGGTAGTATACAAATATAACACGGTTTGAGGGTGGATAGTCGATCCCAGCTTCCCCCAGTGTAGTTTGTTAATTTCTAATACCAAGGGAAGCTAATATCGACTATCCACCTTTTATATTTGTTCTACTATAGACTGTTATCATGCTGCCACTGTTTCAGTCATGTTCCCTGTATCCAATAACAGTACTAAATGTTAATGTTTTTTGTGCAAATAGGAACCAGACTATTTTTCCTTCCAGCCTCGCGGTGGGTACGCTGATTTGAATAGGAAAAAAATCAAGATGGCCGCAACATGATAATGGTCTTTACCTCAAACATTTAGTCAAAATCTAGTCAAGTTTCACATTGCTCAATATATCGGCAAACATTGCTGCGTGTGTGCCGCCATCTTTTCATGTAGCTAGGGCAATGCTTGCGCCTGCACACTACCCTGTGCAATAGACCTTTATCATGCTGCCACCATTTCAGTCGCGTTCCCTGTATCCCATAACAGTACTGAATGATATTTTTTTGGTGCAAAAAGGAACCAGCCTATTTTTCCTTCCAGCCTCGCTTTGGTTACTTTGATTTGAATGGGAACAAAATCAAGATGGCCACAACATGATAATCATCTATATAGTCCTGCGATTGCTTTGTAAAGCGTTTTCGTAGTAGATAAGCACTCGGGTAAATCATGTCCTAGTCTAGTACACATGCATATTTACCCTGTGCATGAATCCTGGCATGCGCTCTTGGTAAACAGCACAACTAGCAGCTGACACACGATGGTGAATGGACCAGTGAGAATTTGGCTCTTGATCAGTAATACGTACAAGGTAAAAGGGATCGTCAGCCCTGTAAATCTCAACACTCATTTTGTCATCATGGGTTACAACCTTGATGGGGAACATGATGCTCGTGTTCTTGAGCGAGACAATTTACTGCAATTGCCTCTCTCCATGGAGAAGTATGATTGGGTACCTGTGATGGTAGAGACCAGATTGCGCCGATCTCAAGTGCTGCAAAAAATTGGTCGTATGGCCTGTTTAGTAGTGGTAATAATTGAGAAGTAAGCACCAAAATACTGTAATAATTGTTTGATTATCATTATTACTTCAGGTATCTGATGTTCCAGTGGCCAATCAGCACGGCTCTGGTGCACATATCCGTCTTCTTCTTCTTCCTGTCACTCATCACTGTGGTGTCATGGCAACAGTGCGCCGGCGCCTTCTCCAGCCAAGAAGAGGAGACCGTGGTGAGACTGGAGGACGTGTACACGCTGTCTTACGAGGATCGCCGGAAGATGATCAGAAAGAGCATGGCCTCCGAACGAGCAGGTAGATTTATATTGAGCTGGCTGGGTGGGGCAGGGGCGTGGTCACAGTGTGGGTGGGGAAGGGATGTGGTCACATTGTGGGTGGGGCAGGGGCGTGGTCACAGTGTAGTTTATGGCCAGAAAGAGCATGACCTCGGAACGGGCAGGTAGATTTATATTGAGCTGGCTGGGTGGGGTAGGGGCGTGGTCACAGTGTGGGTAGGGAAGGGATGTGGTCACAGTGTGGGTGGTGTCAGGGGCGTGGTCACAGTGTAATTTATGGCCATTGAGAAACACAGTAAGATGATCAGAAAGAGCATGGCCTCCGAACGAGCAGGTAGATTTATATTGAGCTGGCTGGGCGGGGCAGGGGCGTGGTCACAGTGGGGGTGGGGAAGGGATGTGGTCACAGTGTGGGTGGGACAGGGGCGTGGTCGCAGTGTAGTTTATAGTCAATGAGGGACACAGTAAGATGATCAGAAAAAGCATGGCCTCAGAACAGGCAGGTAGATTCATATAGGGATGGGTGGAGCAGGGCGTGGTCACAGTGTGGGTGGGGTAGGGGCATGGTCACAGTGTAGTTCATGTCCACTGAGAAACACAGTCAGATGATCAGAAAAAGCATGGCCTCTGAACAGGCAGGTAGATTCCTATAGGGTTTGTTGGAGCAGGGCGTGATCAGTTTCACAGTGTGGGTGGGTTGTGGGCATGGTCTCAGTGTAGTTTATGGCCGTTGAGGGACACAGTAAGATGATCAGAAAAAGCATGGCCTCGGAACGGGCAGGTAGATTCATTTAGGGATGGGTGGAGCAGGGCGTCGTCACAGTGTTGGTAGTGTCAGGGGCGAGGTCAAAGTGTAGTTTATGGCCATTGAGGAACACAGATGATCAGAAAAAAAGCATGGCCTCGGAACAGCCAGGTAGATTCATATAGGGATGGGTGGAGCAGGGCGTGGTCACAGTGTGGGTAGGGTCAGGGGCGTGGCTACAGTGTAGTTCACGGCCATCAAGGGACACAAGAAGATGATTGGATGAACATGGCCTCAGGAAAAAGCTGGTAGACCTATAGGGGTGGATAGGGCAGGGGCAGGATCACAGGATCATGCATTAGGTGGGCGAGGAAGGGAAGTGCTCACAGTGTGAAAAAAGTATGATACCAACATGCCTTGTTTACTATGGGCTACAAGCATGAACAGTAAATAGTGCTTCTTCACCCCCCACAAGAGCTCCAGTGTGAGGGACCACCATGTGTATGCACCAAGTACGTACAGCTATATTGACTGAATGGGCACATACCTATAGCCTCTATGCGTGATCCTACAGGCACCGTTGGCAATGCATTCAGGAGTCTATCCTAGTGGATTTCTCTTTGTAACTGTTTGGAGAAGGGTACTTATGCACAGAGTCTATTGTACTTCAACTCCACAATCCTTTTACTATTTAATGACAATTATTGTGCTTGTGATGTGGTCTTTTTAACATTTAATGCTTGTGACATGTGTACACTTATTCATATCATACACACCCCCTAATAGGGTATTTACCATTAACTTGCATGTAAGTCCACATCTGCCTCACTTATTAGCCAGAAATCAAATATCATTCGACAAGGAAATCAGGAGCATTCACATAAATGACAATTATGCGACAATTACCAGTTGAAACTTTCCAATTTTCTCTCAGGTTCACCCATCTTCACGATCTTGACAAATATTTTTCACTTGAACAAAAGGGACAAAAGACAGAAAATGTAGTTATTTATTCTTCAAAAGCAAAGCTTAAAAACCTATGTGACAATGCAGGCTGGGGAGACGACATCAAACTTTTTTGTATTATTTGTAAACCCTCACCTCTTGGTTTCTCTTTAGCTCTGCTTAGAGGCCGTCCCAAAAATGTCTCTGTCATCAGCCAGAGGGGCTTCCAGGATGATCGGGATTCTCAGAGTTCAGGCATCAGCAGCGTCGACGGGCTGTCCACCGGCGACCAAAGGTCCTCCATCGCGGACGCAACCAAGGCAAGCAATGGCGAGGGGTCGTCGGATGGGGGTTGGGAGCGAGTTGACAGTAACGGCGCAGGGGAGCTACATAACGAGGCCTCGTCTACGCAAGGAGAGGCTGGCCTGCCGGAGAATGAGATTGAAAATGATGCTGGGGAGGAAGTTGATGATGATACTGGGGAGGAGGAGGAGGAAGAGCCCGCAGCCAGAGACCTTGAAGGAGTTGAGAGTGGAGAAGTATCTGAAATCGTGGCGGAGGGAGTTGGCGGACCTTTGGTACCAGACGGAGAAGAGTTGCGACAACGCAAGAAGGAAAAGGACCCCGACAACAACTATTTATAGATGTGTAATGGCAGCCATGTTTGGGGTGTAGTGTTTAAGTTACCCAGGGATATGTATGAATGCTTGGGTGCATTTCAAGTTTGCTAAGGATAGAACAAACCTTTGCTCAGCAAAAACAAGTCACTATCCTATATGTCATGTGATGTGCTTAAGAAGCAATGTTATCGGATGAGCGGCCCCATGAAATTGGGCCCTATTAATTTGCTGTTACTGCATTGAAACATGATAAAACACTTCAAAGGTGGCTGCTGTATTTCAAGGTGCTTAATGTGTGTCCGGGTACCAGACCTGCAATTTCCATTGAATTATCATTCTGTAATCTTTTGATCAACGACATAAATCTTCCAGAGCTCCGACACGATTTGAATACATTTTTCCACACTGCCATTGGGGTACTGTTGTCAATTGCTTGCAAATTTCAATACGAGGCGTTGTAAATAGCCATGATGATCATTTTGCAATTTTGTAATTGGCTTGCTTAAAGGCTCTCTACTATAGTTCAGATGTTGTTTGAGAGTCTGTGGAAAATTCATGGTCATCACTAAAATAATTTAAGTTGTGGATTTTTTTCTTTTCAGCTGCTAAGGGTTTACTGTGTTTGAAATAGTAGGCATAGAAGTTGCCTCAGAAATATTTAGAAAGTATTAGATTGTTTTATTCTTTCAGACATTTTTCTTCTTAATCTTGCCTTGAACTTTTTTGTTTTAATCTTTGTGCTGAAAAAGTTAAAATCTACAGAGCGACAAAGTTATCCTACATGTAAGTCATTGGGAGAGTGAAAACGCCTCACTAGCTGCTGTTTTGCTACACTGATTCAAAGAAAATTGAATGAAAGTACTCACTGAACATTTAACCAAAAACTAGATTCTTACAACTAGCTGCTTGATTAAACTCCTTTTTTTTCTGCTGAAATATAGTTCCTTCTTCATTTTTCTTTCTTTTTTTGGTGTTTGGGGGGGAGTGGAGGTTCGAGTTAAAAGTTGTTCGCTTCATCTTTTTGTATAATTGAGGCTGATACCAAAGAATCAGAATATCAGATGTGCTGTGAACGGTTAATTAATTGTTAGATAAAAATATTACAATTTAACAAAAAGTTCATTTCAGTTTGTGTGCTGTGAATGGTTTAAGAATTATTAGAAAAATATGTTTCAATGTAACAGACAAGTTTTTAAGTTTAGTATATATACAGATTGGTGATGCCCTTTTGTTGGTTAAAACCTTCTTTTCCTTTTTCGTTTCAGATGTTGCCTACAACAATGTTATAGTTATTATCATATGTTGATTGATTTTATGCAAACATGTTTTAAGTTACAAGTAACAAGGTTTGTTCACGGGTTCAACATGTGAAACAAGGTTTGTTCACCATGTGAATTAAACTCGTGTGTAACAAAGTGTGGTAACCGATTGTCTTTGTCAGGGGACAGAGGGTTTTGATGAGCAAGGCTTTTTATCAGTAGAAGATTCTTAAAGTACATGTATGTCTTACTTGAATTGAGGGGTTGAAGATGACTTCTTCACATCACAGTGATGACAGTAATGACAGCTTATGAATTTCCCTTGTCCTTTTTATTTTGCTGCAATGTATTTGTTTTTGTCTTTGCTTTTTAATTTCGGCTTTTTTGTACTAATTACGTGTATAGTCTGTTTTTCTTTAGAAGGAACTAAAACTAACCATGAAATCACCTAGTTTTACCTAATACCGAACCTTTGCAGTTGTCTAAAGTCTTGCGTTTTTCTCCTGTAAATACGCTTTTCTCCCTGAAATTTAGAGTTATATTCTAGTTGACTTAATGGGTTGCCTGGAAGATCCGTATATGTACTAAAAACCTAATGTTTATGTGTAAAAAAAATAAGTAGCCTCTTTGAGTGAGCCCAGGTTTGCAGCTTTGATAATGTTGTTAGCATGGCGATTTGGGGCTTAATCCCTGGCTGGGCTGGCTACATGACATATAATTTGCAGATTTATGGTTTCTAACTAGGCCCCCCCCCCCAAAAAAAAAACATTGGCGTTGACAAGATGGTGGATGGCCAAGCATAGGGCTGGATAGTTCAGTTGGTCGAGTACTGGAATGGCATCCTGGAGCTCGTAGGTTCAAAGCCTGCACCGGTCAGTTTCTTTGTTCAAATTTAAAATAAAAGTATTTTAGGCACTTTAGACACATTTACTGTAAATCCTCAAGCATCACGTGGCACTTGATGTACCTACATGTATTTAGTTCAGTTAAAAGAAAAACAAAAATTGATTGGACAGGTTTTGAACTTGCCACCTCCAGATTGCTGTTCTAGTGTTCTACCAACTGACCCATCTAGCCTGTTGGTGTTTATTTATGCCATTAAATTGCTGCACATTTTGCCATTTTGGAAGGCTCTGGAAACGTCCCAGCAAAAGTGGCCCGAAAGATAGGGTTAATCATGTTGATGTCGTTACCATATTTTAAGTACTGCAAAGGACACCAAACTGCTGAGCATTGTAGAAGTAATAACCATCACAAGAATTAGTTTCTGTTCAAATAGGTGCATTTCCCTATGAAATAAGGCATTTGATTATCACGTGTTGAGTCCATCAAAACCAAATCTTAATAAAAACCTCGCTCGTTTTCTGGATTTTAATCATATTTGATGTTATGTCTTTTATTTTATTTGGGGGTGGGGTTTAAATGTTTTTGTTCTGATTTAATTGTTGCACAGATTGTCTTTACAGTTCGCTTTATATAAAAGTTCCCTTGATATATCTTCTAAGTACACTGTATATTAAACTTAGTAACGTCAATTTTCTACTAACGAAAGAAGTGTGTGGAAATCTATTTGAATATAATAAAAACATGCACTGACAAACCATTTAGTCTTGTTTAAACTTTTAATCTCTGTATGTCATTAGGCCCAAAAAAAGTCTCCGGTTTCTGGTATGGAGCTTCCCCAAAAAGTGGTGCGGCGACGCGGCTTTTTTTTTTACCTGTCTTTTTTTGCTTCAAATGTCGGCTGATGACTGCAAATGGTGCACGACTAAACTTAGTGCAAATATATGGGAGTGCGGAGAGGCCACATAAAGCTTATTCTCGATCATAACCCCATCTAAAAAACACGTTACAATTGTGCAGCAGCAGGATTCCAGTCAAACCAGTGAGCTTGGCGGTTTTGAGACATCATCTTTTATTGAAAAAAAAAAACTTTTTCAATTTGGCGACGCGCATGGCTACGGCGACGCGCGCGCATACCAGAAACCGGAGACTTTTTTTTTGGCCTTAGCTACACTTAAAAAATCAAGAAAACAAATACAAGTTATTGGAATTATTCTTAAGCCCCATATTACAGGTAATCTTCTGTGGAGTATGGGATAACCTTCAAATCTCTGCACAATTTTGATGTGGTTATAACTGGTCGTGCTGGCATTATTTTGACATCCACCGCACCCAGGCACGGGATTGATTTTCACGAGCCTCGATGCCACCCTGATATTTCCGCAGCCTCGTTCACTGACTGATAATTGCCAGCCTGGCTCGTTGCGTGTTTATCCGTCATCTGTTCCGAATACCGCAAAACCTGTGCGTGTGAATATGTCATCCGACGTGAACTGGTTAAGCGTGGGACACGCCCCAAAGGGGAAACATTTTGGTATGATTTGTCATGTAAACATTTCTGTCTGCCATGTTTACTGTACTGAATGGATACAGACACCAAAAAACGACAAGATTGCCCGTTACAGCTCGATTTTCTGTTAACGGCACTTTCCCCTACTTAACTAAAACGTGGCCCCATCCCCAAAAGAGGCAACGTTTTGGATTTTTTTTGTTCTTATGATGTAGCACTTGGGTGAGCTGTCCAAATGCGAAAAAGAAAAGAGAAAATATCTCAATCATTTTTTTTTGTGGGCGAACCCCTCACTTTTTAAAGTCTTGTCCCGCCCACAAATGGGTCAGAAGAAAATGGCATCAATTGGTTTTGAACTTTTTGATGAATCCATTAGCGATCCTGAGAGTTTCAACGAATGTACCCGAAATGTATATGGACTACCACAGGCCCACTGACTACTAGTATGGTGAGGATTTTTCAGTCTCGTTAAGGTACATAACTACTCTCTACGCTGACTCCCGCTAACTGATGCGCGAGTCTATATTGCCTTGACCCGATAGTTCGTTAACAGGAGCTTTTTGGTCTTTTCGTAAATAACTATGGGAGTTTACACAAAGCTTCGTTTTGCAAGGTTGGTCAGAAATTTTCTCATAAAAAAAAGGTTTTGTTGTGTGTGCATTGTTGGCTGTTATGACCAGGGAGCTGTAATTTGCGTGTTGCGGTTTCAATAGCGTACGTACGTCAGCAAGCTCATACGTCAGAGTATTTTATTTGTATATTCTATAAAATAAGCTGAATCTTTATTGCAGAGTCGTTTCACCTCAGTACTGCAACGCGCAAACATTGTGCTGTCTGGCTGTCGCAAAAAAAGCTTCTTTTTAAAGAGATTTTCCAGAGCTATAGTTTGATAGACACAAACATCCATCGTCGCTGAAAGGTAGGTTTTAACGTTTTATGCTTGGTACTTTCTTGGTATACTTGGTTAGTTTCCTCCTGAAACATCCTCTGGGGATCTTTTCACGGGGAGGTGTCGGCATCTAGGTCTTGGTCATGATGTGGTTGTAGTAGTTGCCCCTAAAGGTTTTGTGTGTCATAGAGAAAAAATGAGTTCTTGAATGCAGTTGAGGATGTTTTGGTTGTTGTTGCCCCTCCATCTCTGCATTTTCGGTTGAAGATAGTCTGAAGCATCGATATCAACGGTGTGAGTGATAATCTTGTAGATAGAGTTGAGTCATCTGGTGGGTTTCCCTTCTGTCGGTAAACTTCTCCCATCCCAGAGACGATAACATGTTTCGGAGAGACTACTATGTCTGGCGTAATCTGCATGAACGAAGCGTGCAGCTGTGCGTGTTGCTTATGTGTTGATTGTACAACGGAATCAAAATATGCCAATTGAAAGTACAATGTAATGCTTAATTTTGTTTACCCATTTCTTTCAGAATCCATTCTGCAAATCGACAGAACGTGATCAAGCTTTCGAAGCAAACCCACGCAAGTTACTTCACCGTTGAAAGGTAAACTGCTTTTTTGACTAGATTTTTAGTTCAAAGTAAAAAGGTGATAAACTCTACCGTAGGTTTTTATTCTTACTGTGACCTTTTTAATTATTTGTATTTTTTGCAGTTTTTACAAGAGGAACTCTGACAAGAGGAACTCGACCAGACAGAGGAATTACTGAACATCTAAACTACGCCTAGCCAAACCCTATACACTCTATCCTTAAATAAATTGGTAAGCGCATATACTTAGCAACGATGAAATCTGAGATGGATCTGGAATTTAATAACGTTAAAGAAACGCAATATGCTTATCAATGGAGCAAACACGAGTTAGAAACAATGCATTCACATCAAAAATATCAAAAAGAAATGTTAACATTTCTTGGTGATTTAAAAGTACATGGACCTCGCGTAGATTTAGTAATGCCTACAAAACCAAAAGGAGACATACGCTCTCTAGTAAACACGAACTCACAAACAACGTCCAAGTCTAAGCTTACTGGAAATGATCTGCATCTATATTTACTTAGTAAATTAGTAGACTCTTCTGGAGAAACCCGCCTTCTTTTATGTAATTTAGCTGAAATAAAATGCCTACAGGTAGCAGGTGAATATCTTGCATCTTGGTATGAGAGAATTGCGCAACACGAGGCCACCCCAATCGGTTTTTATATCGATTATGGTTTGTGGCTCAATGTTGCTCATGCACTTCATAGAAATGAGAGACCATTACAGTCCTGGGAAGAGTGGTTAAAAGCAAACGTGGGCATCCACCGGTCTTATGCTAACAAACTGCGCCTGATTTCAAATTTATTACAAAACTATCCCTTGTTCAGAAAATTAGGAATGCCATTTAAAAAAGTTTACGATATTAGAAGAGAAATTCAGGATATGTTGGTAGACTTGCACATAGCCCATATTTGGAAACAAAGTTATTAGACATTGCTTATAAGCATTACTGTATCGGATGTCGTTAAAATATATGTACTTTTCCTGTAAATAACCCAGCGTTTACAAAAAATGTTTGGTATCTGTTTGACTAATATATTTATGAAATGAATTGGATTTGTTACAGTAAAAAACGAACAAAGAAACCACCTGCATATCAAAAAGGCACAATTTGTTACAGTGATTGATCTCGGAAAGGTGAACAAAAGGGATAAAACGTTCCCACGGCACTTGGAAAACAACCCACCAGGACGCCAAAAGCACAATTGTTACGGTGACTACCCCCTTATAACAGACAAGGCCGCGCCGGCGTATGAATCAGCAAAGTTATCAACTCTGCATTACTCTCTGAATAAAAAGACCACACCTAGAAAACGTAAATCGCTGTTATTTCACATAGATTCTCATGTCAATTGTTATTACAATGGTCATGTTATTGTACAGTGGTTTCTTTGTTGCCAGTAGAAGGCGCGACAGTCATCTTTTTGTGAATTTACAGAACTGTTGTAATTATGAGCAGTATGCGCTCTGTTGGTGAACAGCTGTTTCTATGTTTATGGTTGTTAGGGAACATGACATGCAGTGTACCAGTATTATATTTGTAACTTTCAACCACGATGATGGGATTGCCGTGTGAAAACAGAAAAATAAAAGGAAAATACAATGCCTGTTTCAAACCAAGTGACGGTCATGCAGCATTTTAATCCGTTCCGAGAGTTAGGAACTTAGTTTAGCAAACACTGCTTTGAAATTGTCTGTGCTGTTCGGTACGTACTTGTACACGCTTGGCCAACTGAGTTGTACTACACCGATGACACGCATCCGAGGTCTGATAACGGCCTCTTTTTAGAAGAAATAAATTCAAGACAGGATCTAATAATTTAATTTACCGTTTATATTTAATATGCAACATCGATTAAAACAGATTAAACATTCGCAACGAGCCAGTTTTCAACAGTTAAACTTTAGCAGGGATGCTGTAGAACTGCAAACAGTTTCAACGATACTTGTTAACATTCATTGTATATAAGCAAAAACAACAAACTCCCTGTTCTTTTTGATGACTTTCACAGAGATTTTTGCTGTTAAGTCCTTGTAAAACAACCTTGTAAACACCCCGTTCCAAATTTGGAGTGGGGTATTTTTTGCGTTGTTTAATAAATGGATGTAAATATAATTTGTTTTTACAAGTTTAATTTTATCGAGTCAGAGTCTTGTTAATGATATACAGGGCGCTATTAAATTTTTATGATAAGGGAGGGTTTCGCTCGTACCCCCCGCCCTGCAAACAGGGCGCTGGGAAGGGCAGATGAGCTTCACAGAATCTTGTGAAGGAAGTGGGGATGGCATTCTGGGTAATTTATCATGACCTTTGTATAAAGCATCTGGCTGCAGCTGTAGACCGCGGTTAGCCAATGCACGCAAAAACTATCCAAAAATTTTGCCATAGAAATGCATACACACCATACCGGATGTGATTTCTTTTTCATTGCGGACCAAGTGGTCGAATTTTGAGCATCGAATGTTTCGCATATTCGAAATGGAGCCTGTGCAAAAATGACAGTTGAACATTTACCAAAAAACCAAAAAAAAGGGCGCCGCATTTATGAATGGAATAATGGAAATTTTTCATAGAGCTTTATTAATTACTAGAGCGCTAACTCATGTACAAAGTGATGCCTGCTGAACGCATCCATGTTTGTACACAAACTATGGAAAACTAGAAATTCTGTACGTATTTTGTACGTCTATTTGCATATCTGCGTTTGTATTCCATACCGGTGCGTCATCGAAGCCGATACGCCCAAAACCAAAACGCACGATCAGCAAATGAGCGTTTCATTTTTGCTCTACGCAAACAGCGCAACGTGTGTTCGTATCTGCTGTAGACGATTTTTGCCGTGACTTTTTTTGAAGCGTCATGACGCGCTTAAGTTGTTTGCGTACGTTCTACTTGCGCGTTGCATTTAGAGTACACTTTCAAAATTCAATCCATCTCATTTCTTTAGATTCTACAAACACGCACATGAATTCAAAATGTGCCCAGGACGGCTTTAAAGCATCTCTGTGCGCAAGAATAAGGAGTTAGCGCTCTAGTAATTTAATATAGGTCCATGGTCTTTTTTGCACTTAATCAATCTCCATTGCAACAGAGCATGCCTTGCCAATTCACATTCACTTTTCAAGCGAACGTCTTCATACCAAACACTGACTAGTCTAGTCACAGACTCAGACACAGAACCCAATTATTGCCCTTGCCTGGGTTTCGCTCGTACCTCTCGCCCTGCAAACAGGGCGCTGGTAAGGGCTGATGAGCTTCACAGAATCTTGTGAAGGAAGTACAGATTGACCTTTGCATGCAGCTTGCACGCGCTACGCATGATGGGCACTGGAAGCTAAATTGTGCGACGCGTTCTACGTCACAGGTCACGCAAATCTATCCAATGAGAGCTCAAATGATGTCAGCCTTGACCAGCGTCCTGTTTGCAGGGCAGGGGTATGAGCGAATGCCTGGGTAAAAGCTTAGCCAGGACACAAAGTAAATGCAAGACAGCAGATGGTACAACACGTTGTAGATCCAATACATGGTGCCCGGATGTACTGTATAGTCTCACAAGTTTTCCAGGTCAACTTGCAGGGTCTATGGTGAGGAACATCACAGTCAGCTCCAAGATCAAGAGAAAGTGAGCCCCCTGTAGGTCAAACTTGGAGAGGATCAGATTTCACCAGTCCACTCTTAAAAGCTTTTGTTCTTCCCCTTCATGTGCTGCTTGGCTGAGAGAGAGATCAGATGGATCAGTCCCGCAAAAACGCCTGCCGTGTGGCCCAGTAATGCTCCAATTGCACAGGGAATGGGCCATACCTGTCATAAAAAAATAGAAAACATCAGGACAATATTCAAGCAAAACAAAAGGTCTGTTAAAATTAAAAAGTATGGCAAGTTAAACTTGCGTGATCCCCCTTGCATGGTGGCAGTATTTATGCTCCATAATCAGGCCGCGTGACTCGTGCCTGTGTGGTGCCGAGTACAATGTAGGCACAAATTAATTTCCTTGTGCGAGTGCCAGATGTCAGCAATTAGTCCCTCCTAACTCTGTCTGTGTAACTTTTGAAGAGATACTAGCAAAAGATCCTCAGAGCTCTGTGGGACTGACCCACACACACTACTGATGAGACACTGACCTGCCAGGGCCTGTCCCAGTCCAGAGGAATGGTGAACGCCCCCATCCAAGCACCCAGCAGACTGGCCAGAGCTGCATACTGGACACACGTCTCCAGACCTGGCTGGGGTCTGAAAATCAACATATTGGGAATAAAATTAAAAAATAAAATAAAATGTATATGAACAACTTGAAAATAAACAAGCTGAAAATCAATAATCAATACATTCTTGAATCATTACTGTGGCTTTTAGGGTGTGTACAAGACTTGTTCATGGCACTGAGCAGCCTCAACTAAATGAAAGAGAATTTCTAAATCTGAGGGAGAGTTGCACAATGACCGAGATAAATGGTTTTAAAGCAATCATTGTAAATCTTGCTTAAGCTCCATGACTGTGCCGAGTACTTCAGTTGAGTAGGAATATGAAGAGTGTTTGGACACAGCAGACAAAGACACAAAGATATGCAAACTCTGTGTGCATTATTGGATATAAAGAGAAAAAATATTGTATTTCTTTTGGTTCTTTCCGGTAGTAAAACCAAGGATTCCTCCAAAGTGCCCTAGGCACTGTTGCTTGCAAGCCTGAAGAAAGCTGTGGAGAGAAGACAATGAGAAGAGGTGGGAGAAAAACCTTAGAATAACATTCTCCGGGAAAACCCATGGAATCAGGTACCGGGGTAGGGACTGAAAACCCAATCCACATGTGTTCCGGCCAGGAATCGAACCCCGGCCATGACAAGTGGAAGGCGAGGAAAGTAACCACTGCGCCAATTATTGAAAAACTCCAATTACTCATAGCTTCTCAGATTTAATTTCTGCTACCCCTCTTGTAGGACTCGGAAATGAAATGAGCTCACTACAACAAAAGGACAGGTTCTGCAGGGGGGGGGGGATGAAACAACGAACCTCTACTCAAAAACTGGAGCTTAAAGGGCACATGCAATGTAATTTTTTTAGTGCAATCCTTGAAAACACACCTTTGTGTCCTATTTAACCTTATTTCATTTTGCCATTTTCAATGGTAATTTTGGTGCTACTTGTACTTGTACTTGAAGTCACATGGCCACTTCAAGTGGCCGTAGCGATCAGATGTCTGTAGGCTTGTCGATCTCGGGCTAAGGTGAGGTCATCCAGTGGGCGCGTCACTGCGACTTGAGATGCTCAGGTGACTTTCTTTTCCTTAGTGATTCATTGTTGTATCAGTACATGGCAGTAAGCCAATGAGCAAACTTTACTCACAAATGTTTCCAATGAGCTAATTTTTGGGTTCACAATTTGACCAGAAAATTGAACAGTGTCTTCTTGCAATGATATCAAAGCAACAGCGCCCTCGGTTGTCCAAAAAAAAAACATGATTTTTTTTTTTAATGTTTAAAGATACTTTTCAATACAATTAACCACAAAAGGGATGTCAAATAGTTTTCATACATTTAAGAGGATTAGAAAGTTGCACAAAAGATGTTCCAAAGAAATGTTCACTTCATGGGCCCTTTAAAATGCTATTATCACGTGGAAAAGAATTGGAAAAGAAAAGCAAAACAGGCTACAGTAACTGACCTCCTTTGCGCAGTGAAGCGGTTCCATACCTCGCTGTTGGTGCCTAATACGCACAGACAAGGCAGGGTACTCAACGTGGACAACAGGACAGCCAAAATGGAAGTCTCTTCAACAACTCTACACGAAAACACATCAAATTAATAGACCAAAATTGAATAGAAAAATGTAATCATTATACCGATGGAAACTGGTGCTTCAAACTAGTACAACAATTAATGTGAAATTCTTAATCTGATTTGGTTCCAATTTTTAAATTTTTGTTTGGACTTTTGTAATGATGGAACGTCAGAGATATATTTCTTGTGACTTGCTCTCGGACTCAAGTCAATGTGAACAATGAATTACTCGGATTTGGTCTCAACATTTCGGAGGCAAGAACAAATAAGCCCATGCTCTTTTATAATATTAAAGTTCATTTTTAATTCATGCCACTTTTTTCCTTTACCCATCCACTGATGAGCCGTTTTCTTTTCCAGTTTTTTCTTGAATTTTTTAATGACTTGCGACTTGAAACTTGGACTCGGCGTTCCTGACTCATGACTCTGCCTCGACCCAAATGACCGTAACATGGACTCGGTCTGAACACTGAGGACTTGGACTCGTGTTTAAGAATACAAGTCTGTGAAACACTGCAGCGATTAACATTTCAAAGACAGCTCAATTGAATTCCTGCTGCTCAATGGATACAACTTCACAATAAAACAATCACAAAGAAAATGAAATGACAGGAATGACTTTCCTGAGCTTTTGTGGCATTTTAAAGGTTTCTTACTCTTGAACTGCGGCTCCAAAGAGAACAATGACGATGTGAAGAACTAAGCAACTGAGAGTGAACCACAACGCACACTTGAGGAGTCCAGAAATCTTGCTGGTCACTGTAACCCTGTTGCTAGACTGAGGCGGGGGGGGGGGGGAATAAAAAACAAAAAATATCATATTTAGGCCTATTAATTTTTAATTCCATATAAAAATAATGACATATTTTATAAGGCCAATTGTGATGACGATCATCAAGAATATGGGACAAAAAGTGGCATCGGTATACTGCAATTGGAAAGAATGTTGCATCCTGGAGCTACCCCTTAAAATTGTGGGGCGCCGTGCAAGCAAAGTCCCATAGATGCTATACCAACGTTTAATTCTCTTGTACATTTTCATGATTTTAGTAGTACATTGGTTGTTGTCGTGTGGTAGTTATGATAAACATTGGTATAGCATCTATGGGGCTCCGCCAGTGTATCCTGGCGCCACTGATTTTATCATGTTGTACATGTATTTAAATACAGTGGTGAATTTAGAGGGGTATTACATGCACAGATGCATGTAACTTTGGAATCAACCGTGACTCCGTAGCCGGCTACAATGTGCATAGATCGAGTGGCGGGGTATTCTGCAATTGTGTCGACTTTGTACACAACTAAAGAAGTGGCATCTGCATACTACATTCTTTCCCTGACGTCACTTTTTTTTTCCATCTTATCATCTCAATGAAGCTAGGTCACTCATGGTAACAATGTTGTAAAGACTAGCCCCACTTGTGTGGCCTCCGTATTGCTGCGGTGTACGTTAAGCCACACGCCTGGTTTTCCAACCTACTTACTGAGGAGTTTAGTCCAAACACTGGCGCACCCATTTTTTTTACATACCAGTGTATATGGCTGTATTCAATGATTTCTCATCTTTTGCCCTCCGGTCTGGGTAGATTACGTAATCTTTCTTCAAATTTTTCGAGAAATTTAGACATCTTTCTGGAGTTCATATGTGCCAGTTTGGGACTAAACTCCTCAGTAAGTTGGGAAACCAGATGTGTGGCCTAACGTACAGCACAGCAATACAAAGGCCACACAAGTGGGGCTATGTAAAGACTAGTCCGAAAATTTGGGACTCTCAATACTGTGTATGAGAGTCCCAAAACTTAAGGTATCCATATCGTGCAAAACTTTGTGCTGCATGATAAAACCAGTGTGAATCAAATTTGCAAGCTTTTTATTCACTACAGTTTCTTCAATAATCCCCGAAACTTCTGCCTAGCAAAGTTGCTGTTGTGAGCATTGCATCACCAAAAATTCAGCTTTTAATTCTAATTTTGCAGAGAGTTATCGAAATCCATACGTGAGACATCACGTTGATGTGTACTGCAATGCATTGTGCAAAAAGACTCCTCAGCTATAACATTTTCATCGTGTAGATAAAACAGCGCCCTCTTGTTGATCTGAGTGAATGAAAAATGTTCCATTTTTTAGCAGAGGGCGCTATGTTCATTTGGCCATTGATTAAAAAACAAGTAAGCTGCAAGCTCTTCCTACACCTACCCAGAATACATTGGGAATCACACCATATTTCCAGAGCATGGAGAATGACGTGGGTGGTTTTTGAACTGCCAAAACCTTGCCTTAAAATTGGATTTAACCCTAACCGCCCTGAATCCTCCAAAATCCTTTTTGCAAATTGGAGGAATATGCAGGATTGAGGTTACATGGCAAAAGTGCGTTGCTGATTTCGGAGTACGCACTGTGTCAAGGTCTTGGGCCGGACCTTGTGTTGTTTATGCTCATCCGTGCATAAATTTAGCCCTTGATTATACTTGACAATCTCCCTACTGCTCCAGGATGTCACTGCCTCTGCCTCAGCCTATTGACAGTCATAACTGGAGGATTTTGCAGGATTCAGGCAGTGGTCACCCCTCCATGGACCATATTCAAGAAATAACGGAGGAATTTGCAGGATTGAGGCTATATGCTATTTTTCCATGAGGCCAATTGGAGGATTTTGCAGGATTGAGGCTACATCCTAGCAAAAAGGCCTAGGGAGTTAGGGTTAAGGTCTCAGATTTTGCAGGTGACATGCTTGCAACTATATCATTTTGATGTATGTGTTGTGTGGGCATTAATTAGCCAAATGGTGAGTAAAAAAACGTCAGTAGTAATTTTGCACGTTTTTATGCACTCACGGTCCTAGTCTGTGTAAAGACATGAAATGACTCTGGGACTGACATGACTGAGAAACATTTCCAACAACATGTCAAATTTTGTTAGAAAATACAAAATTCTTGACTCTCCACAAATTATGTAGGCCTACACACCCACAACCGCTTAGGTAGCACATGGCCTGGATACCAAATTCTTTCCCTGTATTTCGTTAATAATAATGCGATAACTTTACGTTACCTTGTACACAACTGAGTCCGAGTCTTTCTCTCGCAAAACAACACCGTACAAAAACAACTGCAAAATTCCGTACACAATTGAGAAAGTTCTTATTGAATATACAGCATTCTCAACCAGATTCAATCGCCATTTCAGGGTCAGAAGTACCGTGTTTGATAAGCACAGTAACAAAAGCAATCCAACTTGGCAGAAGATGCTAAATTTTAGCGATAATCGGGGTACCCCGTACCGAAGTGTGTTGTCCATGGACGCTGCCATCTTTGATTCATTTCCAGTTTTTCCAGCGTTTGGCGGTTGAGGGCGCTAGCGAGGTACCACACAGCCAACGTCTTGCTAGACTTAGGGTTGCAGACCAGTAAGTAAACTTCCATAGACCCCAATGGTAAATGCTCTCACTTCAGAAATTCGGGGAAAATACTCACAACTCTCCAAGGTGTTCGAGATACACATCAAATCAAAGCTTATTTCATCATCTTTTATTTTCTTTTCAATTTTTTTTTTTGGGGGGGGGGTCAACTGATGACTTTTAGGAGAAATTTCCATCCGAAGATGATCACCCCTGAAAATAGTCCTGAAGCCCATCGCCATTTTGAAAAACGATGCCTACACTCCATTGCATAATAGGGCGCTTTAAGGGCCCCAATTTCATCCCAATTGAACGGAACTACAAGCTCACAGTCCTGTGCACGGCTTCCACCTATATTAGGGAATTTTATATAGGGAATTTCGGACCGATTTACTGGTCTGCAACCTATAGACACACTGGGAAAACCAATGAGGGCAAGCACACATATGCCCTAGCCTACCCTACGAGCCCTGTACCTCACGTTTTATTTGTGTAGCGTAGTAAACAAGAAGGATTTTTCTGTTTTCAAATTGGGCTCCCTGAAATTCCTTCGAGTGCACTCGTCTATGAAGTTCTGTCTCGTACTCAACGCACGAAAAACGCAGTTACGCACATGCCCTTATGCGTCTTCTGACAAAGACAGAACAATATACACACTATTAAAACCTGCAGCTGTGGCTTTTCTTTATTTTCAAAATTCATAAAAAATACCGTGTACAGGATGAAACGCAATAATCAAAGCTTGTACTTCCTTGCACAAATCCAACAACACTTTGATCAACACGCTGATAGCACCGGTTGATGTAAGGGGGGGGGGGGGGACCGGGAATGCGGTTGCCAGTGCAGCTATGCGGCTTTAATCCGGTTCATCTCGCCTCTCGCATCCCCCCCCCCCCATCTCGCATCTCGCACCTCCCAAATTAGCCGATTTGGGGCGCGGCGACACCGGGTCGACTGTTAGTATGACCTCGATGTCTCAAGTATCGAGGCAAGCTTCTCCAGCACCGATGAGCTTCTCATCAATCTCTTTCTTTTTACAAATCCAGCTAGCCTGCCCATTGGTCCGACGCCCCATAGGAATAGGGATAGGTTAGAGTTAATGTCAGTCAACCTGAACCAGTGGAACTACACAGTCTTATGTTTTGTCGGACCAATGGGACTTCGGACCAATGGGACGTCGGACCAATGGGACTTCCGACCAATGGGACGTCGGACCAATGGGACTTCGGACCAATGCCGGACCGATGGAATGCTAACCCGGGAATGGGAAATTCTTTTCACACCTTTCCTCTTTTCATTTTACGAAAATCTAGCACTTCCCGAATTCAAATCAAGCTGAAGTCATGCCTGCTTCCCCATTTTATCATTAACATGTTCTCCATCTGTAGCCTTATCTTATCTTTCGAAGTCTGGTCTTGCCATTTCTTTTGCGGAGTTATTTTATTTAGAAATAACTGGTACTATAGTTTTGAAGTCATGTTGGAATTGTGAGCGATCTATTCACTCAAACAGAATTCCTCCAATTTCCTATATTTACCAACAGACATCCGTATGCCTCTTTCTTGGCAAAATTGGTTGATTGTAGGTTGAGGCTGCGGATCCAAATATCCAGTCGAGGATACGAGAGGTCGCAACCCCCTAGAGCGCACAACACATAGCCGTATCCAAACCCACCACGAAAGCGTGTGAAATACCACGTTTTCATCCACTGACTAAAAATGAAAACACTTTGTGTTATAAATCTTAATATTAATGTGGCCTGACGTTGCGAACTTAGCAAGTTCTTCTTCAGAGGCTAAAACAGAAATGACAGAGGTACATACATTAACATGGGGGTGCACACAAACATGCAGGGCTGAAAGAAGAAACACAAAAGGAGGATTAAGTGGGAAAGGTGTAGAAAGATGCAGGGGAGGGTGGATGAGAGAACAAAGAAACAAAGGGAGATGGCAAACCACAAGGGGTCTGGTGTGAACAGGGGAGGGACCAGAAAGGGGAAGGATCAAAGGTCACAGGGAGTGGGAACGGACAAAAGAGTGTGGGAGTGAAGGGATGATGCCGGGGGGGGGGGGGGACAGTATGGAGGTGGAAAGGGATGAAAGATGGGGGAAGATGGGTAAACACAAACAAGGAAGACCAGATGGATTATCTGTAACAGAAGACAATGGAGGAAAAAAAAGATTTATCATTTCCAAGTTGGATGTTGAGACCATGTGGTTGAATAGTTCGAAGACGATTCATCCACACTTTCTCTCTGCTGAGGCGAACTGAGTCCTTGCGATGGCCAAGAGATTCAATGCCCTGCAAAATCATATCAGAAATGGAGTGGTTAGGCAGGTTGAAGTGATGACCAACAGGGGTGTCTAGTTTCTTGGTGTTGACCGTTGACCGGTGGGCATAGAACCCCTCCTCGAGCGTATTCTTAGTCTCACCTACATACTGCACTCCACAGACCCTGCAAGAAATGAGATATATGACATTAGAGGTGTTACAAGTGATGTTACCAATGGTTCTGTGGGTAGTGACAGAAGAGTGGCCAGAAAAGGAGTCAGACTCCTGGATATGAATCTGGCAGACAACACATATGGAACTGCACTTGAAAGTACCATGCTGGGTGGGAGGGGATGCATCTAAGGATGGGACTTCAGCTCGAACAATCAAGTCCCGTCGATTTCGAGGACGCCTGTAAGCCAATGTGGGGCCGTTGGGGATGGCGCGGGCAAGGCGATCTGAAGTATGGAGGATATGATGATTGTCATTAGTGATTTTGTGAAGGGGAGGGAGATTGGGGTGAAACGTGGTAACCAAGGGAATCATGGGTTTGGCCATGGCATCAGGGGCCTTTCCCGTGAGAGCTAGATTTCTGGGGATAGCTTTAGCTCTGGCAATGGCACGATGAACTTGGCGAGAGCTGTGACCCCTGGCCACCAAGTTGTTCCTCAGTATCTGTGTATGGCGGGAGAAATCGGAATCATTAGAACAAATTCTTCTGAGTCTGAGTGCCTGGCTAAACGCTATGCCAGTTTTGCAGTGCCTGGGGTGACAGCTGGAGGAGTGGAGGTACTGGTGGGTGTCTGTGGGTTTGGAATACAGGTCAGTGGTTAGTGAGTTGCCTTGCTTGCGGACGGTGACATCCAGAAAGTGGGTTTGGTGAGCCGAGAACTCCGATGTGAATTTGATGGTTCTGTGGAAGGAATTGATGTGGTTAGTGAAGGTCAAGAGACTGTCCTTATCACTGGTCCAGATGAAAAAAACATCATCAATATATCTCCACCAGATCCAAGGGCGACATGGGGCCGAGGCAAGAATGCGTTCTTCGAGGTCACCCATGAAGAGGCAAGCCATCGACGGAGCCATGCGAGTGCCCATTGCAGTGCCGTGTACCTGTAGATAGTGTTCACCAAGGAAGGAAAAAATTGTTCTTTGTTAGTATAAGTCTCATGAGGGTGCCAACATCACTGATGGGAGGAGTCGTGTGTCCTGCCTTGGCCAGAGCCAAGGAGCAAGCACGATCATTTTAAGATTTATATATTGCAGGTCCATCCAGTCAGTAAGCAGTTTGCAGCAGTTTTACTTTTTTACACTTTGTGTTATGTTAGATTGAAAAGTTTGAGAGAACATTTCTGATTTGTTTGAATAAATTTGAAATGGTGCTCCTTAAAAAAGGTCCCTCGTGGAAAAAGGGTACTAGTGAGAAAATATGTTTTTGGGGGGGGGGGGGGGAACCTCCTTACCCACTCAAAGCAATCATGTCGCCTGATCCCTCGAGCAACAGCGCGGTGAGGTGTTGGATTTGTACACGTACCTGTAGGTTATAGATGAACATTATGACTGTTATCGAAAAGCTTTGCGTTCTGCATGCCATCTCCTTCATCTAAACGTTATAAATACTTTCATTTTGGCAATTATTTGGCACTGATTTGAAAGTAAAGACAAAGCGTGCATGCAATGTGTGCATGTATCATGTATCATGGGTCCCAAAAGTTCTTTTGAGTGTGTGTACTGTATTGGCAGAGCACTAGTCTTGGGTTTAAGACGTTGTTGTATATTAGACGAGACGGGCGTATTTGTGTCGGGGTTGAAAATGTGGAGAGTAATGTAAATGGGGGATTTACTTGAAACTGAGACATGCAGTTATAGAAATGCAAGAGTCTAGAGATAGAAAATAGGAAAGTAAGAGCCATATTAGCTGATTTAGGCAAAGAGATTATCAATATCATAATTCAAATTCAGTTCAAAGCTTCAGAAATTCTTTTCCAAGCTTCAATCACTTGCCGCAAGAGGGCGGAATCACAACGAATCACTGTCACCAACGAACCGCTATCACAACAACGTCTTCAAAATCTTGTTGCGGTCGTGTCCTGCGCGCCTAATGTCTGCAGCGCGTTTAATAGCTCCGAACCAAACTCCGAAATTTCAGCCAGTAGCATACACGATGCTTCCAAACTTGTGTGCATGCATGGCAGCTCTTCTGTCGTATGCAGTATCCGTGCAACCGAATTAAAAATGGACCGTATTTGCCTGCAGAAGTAGCGCAAGTGCTCTAGTTTCACCTTTTTTTTCAAAGGGAGATTGTGCAAGATTCCCAAGACGTTGTGATAGCGTTTCGTGTGTGATATCGGCGGTTATTGCCTCTTCATTCGGCGGTCGATCGCGTATTTAATACAATTTTGCAACAACAGCGTCTTGACCCAGGACTAGCAGTGCACGCGCGACACTGCATGCAGCGATTCGTGTATAAAGCGACTCATGCACAGCCATCTACTTTTTATACGGTACCGCTTAAAAAAACCCACTGGGATTGGTTTTATTCCGTGGTAATGCAACCGGCCAAAAAAAACGCAGATCAGGATTCCGAAGGCACCGGTCACCACGTGGATCCAAATGGTACACCATTTCTGTGTTTCTGTGGGGATCTGGGGATTTTCCAGTTAGGTAGGCCTAACCCTT